CACGGTGACGGCAGCGGGGCCCCGGGTGATGCCTCGCTGGAGAGGCAGAGGAAAGCCGTGACCTTCCTGCAGCCAGATGGCCCCTCCACGGGTCACCCGGCCACCCCCGGCCCCACCCAGGGGGCTGCTCCCCATACCCAGGGGGGGCTGAGCCCCACAGCCCCCCAGGGGCCGGCTGAGCCCAGCCAGGAGTGGCCGGAGGGACACGGGGGTGTCGGGAAAGGCACAGCCGAGCCCGGCAGTGAAGTGGCCACGTCCCCCCTGGGCTGGGACACCCCCTCGCCATCGCCTCCCCCTGTGGCCACCGCGCTGACCCCGTGGGCCAGCCCTGAGCAGCTGGTGGAGGCGGCAGTGATGGAGGCGGCGGCCGAGGAGGGGTCCACGTCCTTTGCCCCCGCGGCCTCTCATCCCACCAGCCACTCTGGGCCGGAGCTGGGGGCAGGGGAGCAGCTCCTCCTGCCCCCCCCAGGCCCTCGGCAGCCCCCTGGCTCCACCGTCCCCCCCAGCCCCGAGGATGCTCCAACATCCCCCAGCCAGGAGGATTCCTCGGGGGAGGCGAGGAGAGAAGAGCCCCCACGCCCCTCAGCTCAACCACCCTTGAACCCTGGTCATCACCCATTGCCCCCCACCCGGGGGTGACCGGGACACCCGAGTCCCCCGGCGTGGGGCTGCTCTTTGAGCCCTCCTTGGCAGCGGAGCCGGGGGACCTGGGGGGGTCCCCTCTGCTGGAAGCCGACAGTGGAAGCAGTGAGGGGCTGGAGGAGCGGGAGCTGCTGACCTGGGTGGGCCCCGGCAACGCCACCCGGCACGGTGAGCACAGTGGCAGGGTGTCCCCTTGTGCCCTGGGGCTGGTGGGCACAGGGACAAACGGGCTGGGGGGCGGGAGATTTGTGCTTACCCACCGGGAGGGTTTTTGGGGGGTTTCCTCTCCTTTTACCCAAACCAATTCACTCAAACTTGGGGAGGGGGTGGGATGGGAGCAGGGATGGAGTGGGGCCGCTCTGTCCCCCAGCCAGGGCTCAGGGCTCCTGCTCCAACCCCCCAGCAGCCCCATCGGACCCCTGCGAGAACAACCCCTGCCTGCACGGCGGGACCTGCCGCGCCAACGGCACCGTCTGCGGCTGCAGCTGCGCCCCCGGGTTCACCGGGGAGAACTGCGAGATCGGTGAGAGCCGGGGCACCCCGAGCCTGCCCCAGCACGGGAGCATCCCAACCTGCCCCACACAGGAGCATCCCAACCTACCCCACACAGGAACATCCCAACCTGCCCCACACAGGAACATCCCAACCTGCCCCACACAAGAGCATCCCAAACCTGCTCCACACAGGAGCATCCCAACCTGCCCCACACAGGAGCATCCCAACCTACCCCACACAGGAACATCCCAACCTGCCCCACACAAGAGCATCCCAAACCTGCTCCACACAGGAGCATCCCAAACCTGTCCCACACAGGAGCATCCTAACCTGCCCCACACAGTAACATCCCAAATCTGTCCCACACAGGAGCATCCCAACCTGCTCCACACAGGAGCATCCCAAATGTGCCCCGGCACAGGAACATCCCAAATCTGCCCCAGAATGGGAGCATCCCAGGAACATCCCAAATCTGCCCCAGAATGGGAGCATCCCGAGCCCTGCCCCTCACAGGAACATCCCAATCTCTGTCCTGGCACAGCACGGAGCAGCAGCCACAGGAATGGAGCTGCGGCTCCAAGTCCTGCCCAATCCCCCATCCTCGGTCACTGCTGGCACTGGCGGGGGCAGTGGGCGGGGTGGGCAGTGGGGGGATACCAGGGGGGTCTCTCCATGCCCACAAACCCCCCCGGTGTCCCCACAGACATCGACGACTGCCTGTCCAGCCCCTGCCAGAACGGCGGCACCTGCATCGACGAGGTGAACTCCTTCGTGTGCCTCTGCCTGCCCAGCTACGGCGGCAGCCGCTGCGAGAAAGGTGAGGAGCAGCCCCCCCTGTCCCCACACACCCCCCCGGGTGGGTCACCACGGGGTGGGGGAGACCCCCATGGGGACACTGCCCAGCCCGTGTCACCCTGGGGATGCCGGAAGGGAGCTGCTCCCTGCATCCCTCCCCGCGGGGCTGGCCCCCCTGCCCTGTCCCCACTTGTCCCCGTGTCCCCGCAGACACGGAGGGCTGCGACCACAACTGGCACAAGTTCCAGGGTCACTGCTACCGCTACTTCTCCCGCCGGCGCTCCTGGGAGGACGCGGAGCGGGACTGCCGGCGCCGCGCCGGCCACCTCACCAGCATCCACTCGCAGGAGGAGCACGGCTTCATCAATGGTGGGTGTGGGGAGGGGTCACACCCCCGTCCCACCCCCCTGGGGACCCCTCCTTCCCCTCTTCCCCTGAGAACCCTGCGTGCCCCTCTCCACAGGTTTTGGGCACGAGAACACCTGGATCGGGCTCAATGACAGGATCGTGGAGCAGGACTTCCAGTGGACCGACAACACGGGCTTGGTGAGAGCCCTGGGGGAGCGAGGGGGGCTCGGGGGGTGGGGCACAGGGTGGGGTCTCACCCTCACTGGTGTCCCACAGCAATACGAGAACTGGCGGGAGAACCAACCCGACAACTTCTTCGCGGGGGGCGAGGACTGCGTGGTGCTGGTGTCCCACGAGATCGGCAAGTGGAACGACGTGCCCTGCAACTACAACCTGCCCTACATCTGCAAGAAAGGCACAGGTACTGCCGGCCCCGCAGCACCCACAGCCCGCAGCCCCCGGCGTCCCTGTCCCCGTCCCACAGGCCCTGGTGTCCCCGTCCCACAGTTCCCAGCATCCCTGTCCCCATCCCACGGTCTCTCTCCAGGAACCTCCTCACCCTCAGCAAAGCTCTCCCAGCCCTTCACCTGGACAGACTCCAGCAGTTCCCCTAAATCTCCGTGTTTCCTCTCCTAGTCCTGATCAATTCCTCCCTCAACACTTGAATCTGTTTAATTTGGCGCCATTAAACCCGTTAATTTCCCGTTCCTTATCCCGGGAGTTTTATTAACCTCCAGCTGCTCCCTGGGTGCTCCTCCCCACCCTGCGCGTTAATGACGGCCCAATAAGGCTGTTAATTAACAAATTGAATCCTGGGGACACCCCAGTGCAACCCTGATGGAGGAGCCTCTCATAAAACCATCCCCACTGGTGGCAGGGTGTCCCCTCATCCCCTCCCCAGTAACAGGGGGGTGACAGTGCTCTGTGTGTGTCCCCCAGTGCTGTGTGGGCCCCCCCCAGAGGTGCCCAACGCCTTCCCAGTGGGGAAGAGGAAGGAGAAGTACAACATCCACTCCAGCGTGCGCTACCAGTGCCAGGAGGGCTTCACCCAGCGCCACGTGCCCACCATCAAGTGCCACAGCACCGGCAAGTGGGACCGGCCCAAAATCCTCTGCACAAAACGTTAGTGGGGACGGGATGGGGCAGGTGGGCAGGGGTGGGCGGGGACGGGTGCCCGTTCCTGACCCCCTCCCGGGTGTGTCCCCCCATCCTCCCCTTGCCCCCCGTTAGCCAGGCGGTCGCACCGAGCGCGGCGGCACCACCGGCACCGGCACAGCCACCCCCACCACCAGCACCACCACCACAAACCCCGCAAGGAGCGGCGAAAACACCGCAAGCACCTCCGGCTGGACTGGATGGAGGAGGGGCACTACTTCTAGAGCCGGGGGGGCCGCCGAGCACAAGGGTCCCCCGCGGGATGTGGTGACGTTTCCCGCCCCCCTCCCAAACCCCTTCCACCCCCAACCCTCTCTTTTATAACCCCCTTTGGCTTTAGCTCCTTAGGATGCCCGGCCCCGTAGGGAATAGGACCCGGAGGGGGCGGCTGCGTGTGCGTCCCCAGCCCTCCCTGCATGCCCCACGCTCAGCCCCCCGGCCCGGGGTCGAGGCCCCAGCCCCGCACAGGGACCCCCCACCCCTGGCTGGGCTCTGGCCCCGTCCCCAAAGCGGGGTTAATCAGGCAGCCCCCCCATCCCACCCTGGCCATCGAGGCGGGTGGCTCTGGTTTTTTAGCAGCCCCCCCTTTCTCCTGCCCCGGCCCCCCGGCCCTGCCCGTGGGGCATCCCTGTGGCTGGTGTGGGGTGAGCCCACCAGTGCCACCAGTGCCACCAGGTGCCCCCAGGGCCGGTTTGGGGCCGGTTGGTTTCTTTTTGCCCCGTTTCCGTTGTTTGGGGTCCCCGTTGGAGTTGCGTGTGTGTGTGTACGGCGCTTTCTGATCTCTGCTGTTTGCGACGTGACTGCCGTGTCCTGAGCCCCCTCCCCACCTCCCCCCTCCCCATTTCTGACTCTACCTTTCTGTACTGCTGGACATTTTAATAAATTTTTTTAACAGTTGAGCTACCCCGACCCTGCCCTTTCCTTGGGGGCTGTGGGGACCCCCGGGAAGGTCCCCCCACGTCCTTTGTGCTGCCTCCTTTCGCCACATGGAGTTAACCTGCAGCAAAGCCAGCCCCTCTGCTCCTGGTGCTCCCCATGCATCGCCCCCGTGGTGGCTGCCACATGTGTCCCCAGCGTGGCCACAGGTCCCCCTCGAGCTGGGGAGATGCTGCTGATGGATTTACTGGGGTTGCTCCCTGCACCCTACCCTCGTTACCCACTCCGGTGGCCCCCGACACCCACTGTCCCCTGCCAGGAGTGTCCCATCCCAGCAGCTCTTTGTTTCCATCAGCCGGTGAAGGTGATGGATGGGCCGTGCTCAGCTGGGCCAGGGAGGGTGGGCAGGGAGCCCCCAACCCCTCTTGGGGACCCTGGGGTCCCCATCCACGTCCTGCCTCCCCCATGGTGGCTCCTGGGTGCTGCCCAGCCACAGGGACGCCCCAGTGCGGCTCTGCTGGTGCCGCTCCCTTGGATCTGGTCCCAACAAATCCAAGCAGGACGCTGTTGGGATGCTCTGAACATGCTGGGAGCAGGGAGGGAAAGCAAGGCCGAGCAGCGCTGGGGTCCCCTCGCTCCTGAGACGCCCCTCAGGGGTGGCACCAGCGAAGAACACACCAGAGCCCCGCTCAGCTCTCAAAAGCAGCCGAAGCTTTTATTTCATCTACGTCCAGGGCTGCCCAAAGCCTCGGGGGGGGTCCCACCCAGCCCCTCCCACCTCACCCGCAGGAAGCCAAGCGAAGGAGCTGCAGGCGGGGGCTGGAGGGGCTGCAGGTGCCCCCCCAGGCTGCCCAGTGCCCCCCAGTCCTTGCCCAGCGCCGAGGCAGCATTTTGGGGAGCCCGTGGCAGGTCAGTCCCCCTGCAGAGACCTGACAGTGCCGTGACACTGGTGGCCCACAGCACCTTGCCGGGGGTGGGGGTTGGGGGTGTCGGTGCTGCTCGACCCCGGGAGGGCGCAGGGTGGGGACCCCTGGGGTGGGGATGGAGGGCTGGACGGGCCCTTTAGCACATGCAATGGGCAGGTGGAGAAGCAAGAGCTGCGAGGAGCGGGGAGCCAGCCCCGGGTGTGGGCTCCCAAAGTCCTTCCCCTCCCTGCTGCCTCCGCATCCCCGAGCGCCACCGCGCCCCGCCGCCTCTCCGGCCCGGGGCAGGGGCTGCCCGCAGCTCCGCTGAGACCCCCGGGGAGCCCAGCACGCAGCGAGGGGGGGCTCATTCACCGGCCGAACCGGAGGGGTGCTCCCACCCACAGCCACCCTCACACGCGGTTGGGGTGCCCCCCGCCCGCCTCCTTCGCCTTCGCCTTCTCCAGGGGGGCATCCCCGCCGGCCTCTTTGAAGCAGTAGACGCCGAAGAGCTTGTACTTCTTGTCGGGGAAGCCCAGGTTGCGCACGCCGGGCTCGCGGCCGCCGCAGCGGGCGCGGGGGTTGACGATGGGGTAGCGGATGCTGCCGTCCTCCAGCCAGCCCGCCTCGCAGCGGTCCAGCAGCTGGATCTTCCAGGCGGCGTAGAGCTGCCCCACCTTGGCCACGGCCGCGCCGTTGTTCTTGCACGCCTGCACCGCCTCCGAGTAGCTCAGCTTGCGGAACGTCTTCAGGAAGTAAACCTTGCCTGGGCAGAGGGGCAAAGTGAGGGTGGGGAGGGGGTGGTCAGTGCTGGAGCATCCCCTGCCCGTTGTGCCGCTGGGGTTGGTAGGGTGGGGAGAGGGGACAAGTCCCGTGGAGCCCCCTTCAGTGCATTTTTGGGGGTGGAGAGTGATGCAAACCCTGTGGGTTCTCCCAGAGCATTTTTTGGGGGGGTCCAGGTGAGACAAGGGGTACAAACCCTATGGATCCCTCCCACTGCATTTTTAGGGGGGTGCTGGAGGTGGAGGGTGGGTGGTACCAGCCTGGTTGGCCCCTGCAAGACATCTGGAGGACTGGAGGAGGTGAGTGCTGCAAGCCCTGGGGGTTCCCCCCAACACATTTTTAGGGGGCTGGAGGAAGGACTCCCCCCAACACATTTTTTTGAGGGGGGGCTGAAGAAGAAACATGATACAAGCCCTGTGGACCCCTGTGGGCACATTTTGGGGGGCAGGAGGAGGTGAGGGGTTGGGTGGGCCCTGGGGACCCTCAGCATGGGCAGATTTAGGGGCTGTGTGGGTAATGCCAGCTCCCTGTGCCAGTGTCACCCGCTATTTATCCCACCTGCCACCATTAAATAAACATCAGCAGGACCCCCCCTCAGCCCCCCCTGCCAGGCAGGAGGAATTTACAGAGCCCAGGAGCCCTCCTGGCTCCCATCTGTCTCGCGTGGTCCCGGCCTCATCCATCACCCAGGGCTGCTGCTGCTGCAATTACCTCTGTGCCCTGCTCCTCCTGCCTGGCAGAGATGGGTTTGCTAAAAAAAGAGAGGGTTTTTGTGTTCCCCCCCCCCAAAAAAAAAAAAAAAGGGAGGTTTTTGCTAAAAAAAAAGAAAAATAAAAAAAAAAGGTGTGTGTTAAAAACAAGAGAGGTTTTTGCTAAAAAAGACAGGTTTGCTATAAAAGAGGGGTTTTTTCAAAAAAAGAGAGGGTTTCCTATAAAAGAGAGGTTTTGCTTTGAAAGAGAGGTATTTTTCTAAAAAAAAGAGAGGGTTTTGCTAAAACTGGGTGTTCCAGACCCCAGAACAAACCAGGATGGAGGTGAGTCCCTGCTGGGGGGTCCCACTGCTGATCTCCCCCTCCTGATGGGCCAATGAACCCGGGGAAGGGACGCATCCTCTCTCCCAGGGCGGAGCATCCTGTCGGGTCGCCATGGGAACCACCCCCAAAACCCCCCCCCATCCCAGCGCTCCCCCCAAAAACCCGCCCGGGGCTCGGTGCCCCCTCGCCGGTACCGTTGAGGTTGGAGGTGAAGCAGAAGGCGTCGTAGTGCTCGCTCTCCTTGTGCCGGTAGCCGTAGTTGCGGACGCCCACGGGCGTGTCCTTGCGGCCGCACTCCTCCCGCGGCCGGGAGATGGGGTACTGCACCGAGCCGTCCTCCAGCCAGCCCGCGTTGCACCAGTCCATGCCCTCCAGCCAGGCCTGGTGCAGCTGGTCGTGGGACGCCAGGATCCCGTCCTGCTCCAGGCACGCCTGCTGCGCCTCGTGGAAGTTCAGGGTGTAGCGGCCCAGGCGAGGGTGGTACGGGAAGATGACGCCTGCAGAGGAGGGATTTTTTTTTTTTGGGGGGTGGAGGGTTCTCTCCTCTGCCTGAATCTGCAGCTGCACCCAACAAACAGGGTCGGCCACAATGAGCTGCCCCTGTCTGTGCCCTGGCGGGGGGTTTGAGAGCCCCCAAACCCTCCACGCTGTGACTTTAGGGATCCCCGTTCCACCCCCAGGCTCCAGGAAAACAGGGACACCAGCAGTGCCCACATGGGGTCCAGCCAGGCTGTGGTACCCCCGAAGCAGCCCCCAAAAAGAAGGTTTTCCCCCTTTCCCGATGTCCCAGTGGGCTCGGAGCTAAACCAGCCCCTCATCCCTGTCCCTGGGTGCTTTACGAGCCCGTGCCACCGTCCATCCACGGGGTTTATGAGCTGCCACCCCATAAACCTGGAGCAACAGTAAAAGCCAATCACGGCGGCAATAAAACCACGGCACACGCTGGGAACAAGAGCTGGGCCTGGGGGGAGAACAGGGCACAGGGAACCACATCCCAACCATCCCATGGGGCACTGGGAACCACATCCCAACCATCCCACGGGGCACAGGGCACAGGGAACCACATCCCAACCATCCCACGGGGCACAGGGCACTGGGAACCACATCCCAACCATCCCACGGGGCACAGGGAACCATATCCCAACCATCCCACAGGGCACAGGGCACTGGGAACCACACCCCAACCATCCCCACAGGGCACACCAGGGCAGGGGGGGTATAATCTGGATAACCCGGATAATTTCTCCTCCTGCATTCCAGAGCATCCTCCTGCCCTTCTCCCACCCCCCACTCCCCAGCGGTACCTTCGAGGTCCAGCTTGACCACGCCGGTGTCGTCCTCGAGCTCGTTGGTGACCTCGCACTCGTAGCGCCCGTAGTCCTGCAGGGTGACGTTGCGGATGATGAGGGAGGCGTCGCCCGCGCCGTCCTCCTGCAGGGCCGTGCGCCCGCGGTAGGGCCCGAACGCCCGCCGGGCCTTGCCCAGCGCCACGAACACGTCCACGAACGCCATGGGCTCCGTCACTTTGGTCCACTTGAGGCGGATCTCAGCCGGGTCGTGGGCGGACACGTCGTAGTGGTAGCGGCAGGGCAGGATGATGGTGCCGCCCCGGTGCGTCACCACCTTCCCCGGCGCCGTCTGCACCACCACGGTGCCGCTGTCACCCTCTGCAAGGGACAGCCAGCTCAGGGCAAGGGACACTCGGCTCAGGGCTGGACCTGTCCCTGTCACCACCCTAACCCTAACCCATCCCACCCCATCCCACCCCATCCCACCCCACCCCAGTCCCATCCCATCCCATCCCATCCCATCCCATCCCATCCCATCCCCATCCCATCCCATCCCATCCCATCCCATTCTCCATCCCATCCCATTCCCATCCCATCCCATCCCATCCCATCCCATCCCATCCCATCCCATCCCATCCCATCCCCACCCCACCCCACCCCACCTCACCCCATCCCATCCCATCCCATCCCACCCCACCCCATCCCATCCCACCCCATCCCATCCCATCCCATCCCATCCCCACCCCACCCCACCTCACCCCATCCCATCCCATCCCATCCCATCCCATCCCATCCCATTCACCACCTCCACCCCCACCCCATCCCATCCCATCCCATTCCATCCCATCCCATCCCATCCCATCCCATCCCATCCCATCCCATCCCATCCCATCCCATCCCACGACGCCCCTCCCCACTCACCCATGACATGAACCACCTTCTTCCTGCCCCGGGGGCTCGGCAGCGCCTCCGAGCCGAGGATTCCCGCGAGGAGCAGCAGAGCTGCCGGGCCAGCGGCCCAGGGGCTTTGGGGACGCATCTGGGGGGACAGCAGAGCCCTCAGCACCCTCCAGCCCCCCTGGCAGGGGGGAACCCTCACTCTGCCCGACCCCCAGCCTCGGCATCCCCCCAGCAGCGACGCTGGTCCCCAACCCCTCCCCTATGGGGTGCCGTCACCCACTGCCACCTCCTCACCCACCCCAAGCACTGGGGGGGCACTGGCAGCGCTGGGTCTTTCATTGCCTCCCCGCGCCGCCCCCCCCGGCCCCAGGGACCCCCGTGCCCCCGGCGCTGAACTCGGCTTCCCCCGCTCAGTTACAGCCGCGATGAATATTTGATGGCAGGCGCGCCGGGCCGGTTCTCCTGAGTTATTTATGGCAGCGCCGGCACATCTGGAAACTGAACTGATGCGGCGGGAGCGGCGGCGGCGGCCGGAGCCCCCCGAGACCCCCGGTTGCACCCCTCTTTCCCGGGGGACAGCAGGGGGGAACGTGCGCCGGAGCCTCCTGATCCCTGGGGGCTGCGATCCCGAGCCCCGAGTTCTGGGGGTGCCCCAGACCCCAGCCCGGCTCTGTGTCCCCCCTCACGGCGGGAATGAGCCCCTCCCAAGCGCAGGGGAGGGTGGGGAAGGGGCGCCAGGGGCTGGATGTGGGGCGGGGGGAGCAGGGCAGCCCCCCGGCAGTGCCGGTGCCCGGTCGGGGGGCAGGGGCAGAGGGACAGCCCCTCCCGGGGGTCCCGGCGCCGAGTCCGGGGAAGAGGGAGCGGGGCAGCCCCCGGGGGTCCTGATGCCCGCTCCGGGAGCAGGTGAAGCGGAACAGCCCCCCCGGGGTCTCTCCGCTCTGTCTGGAGGCACAGGGAGAGGACCGCCTCCCTCCCCGCCGGGGGTCCCGGTGCCTGGTCTGGGGGGCAGGGGGAGCGGGAAAGTGCCCCACGAGGATTCCGGGGTTCGCTCCGGGGGCAGAAAGAACGAGGCGGACCCTCGGGGGCTCCGGTGCCCCGTCCGGGGGGCAGTGAGAGCAGGGCAACCCCTCCCGGGGGTCCCGGTGCCAGGTGCGGGGGCAGGGGGAGGTGCGCAGCCCCTCCGGGGGGTCGCGGTGCCCGCTCGGGGCGGGGGGATGCGGTGGCCCCGGCTGTGCCCGCCCGCGGCCGCGGGCCCGGTGCGGTGTTGCAGTGCGGGACACTGCGGCGGCGGCCCCGGGGCTGCGGGACTCCGGTGCCCGGGCAGCGCAGCGAGGGAGGGAGGGGAAACTGGCCCGGCGCCGCCGGCCCGGCCGCAGCGACCCCCGCCCGCCGCGTCCCGCCCGGTACCGGCACCGGGGGGGTCCCGTCCCGGCGCCCCGCAGCGAGCGGAGCCGCCGCAGCCCCGCACTCACCGTGTCCCCGGTGCCGGCGGCGGGAGGGGCCCGCCCGCAGCAGCGCGACGGTTCTGCCGGTGCCGCCGGTACCGCCGGTGCGGCTCCGCGCAGGGGCGGCACCGGAGCTCGGCCCGGCCCTGCCCTGGCTCTCCTGGCGCTGCGCAGGGCCGGCGGCTCGCCAAGGTCACCGGCCCGCCCGCCACCCCCGCCCCTGGGACCCCTGGTGCTGCTGGGACCCCTGGGAACACTTTGGGCACGAGGAGTTTTGTCGGGGAAATCCACCCCTGCCCCGGGCAGAGCAAGGGCAGAGCGTGTGCCCGCCCCCACCCGTGCGCCCCCTCCCCACCCTCACAAACCCTTGTACAACACCCCCGCCGCACACACAGCCGTGTGCCCACCACGCCCACCCGTGGGCACCCACAGGGACCCCCCAGCCCCACCCCAAAGGGCCGCAGGGGAGCAGCCTGGAGACTCCTCATCCCTGGGGATGCCTGGGTGTGTGGGGGTTCCATCCCTGTGCTCCCACGGCTGGCAGGGAGGGACATCCCTGGGCACAGCAGGGACACGAACAGCTCCGGAACGAACCTTCGCTCCTTTATTTTGTAAACAGTGTTCCCCTGGCACTGCCCCCACCCCGAGTCCTTCCAGGGGCACCCACGGCCCCCCGGGACCCGCCGGGAGGGGACACCCCCACCACTGAGACCCCCCTGGGTGAGGGCAGGGCTGTGGCTGCACCCACCTCCCCTCAGAGCATCCTGAGGACCCCCATGGCCTTTTGGGACACCGGGGGGACCACCAGAGCACCCCTGGGGGCACCTCTGGCAGCCGGGACCCACCGCTCTGTGGCTCTTGGAGCAGGACCGGGGTCGTTGGGCAGCAGCCCCAGGGTGGGCACAGCAGCCCTCAGGGTGGGCACAGCAGCCCCCAGGGTGGGCACAGCAGCCCCCCGGGGCGGGCAGGACCCCGTCACTGGTGTTTCTTTGCCCGGAGCAGGGCGGCAGGAGCGGGAGGCAGGAAAAAGGCGGGGCAGCGCAGGCAGCGGAGCACCAGGAGCTGCGGGCCCAGCGCGTAGAGGATGTTGGTGAGGAGGAAGCTCCACAGGACGTCGTCGGGGGTCTGGTAGGGGAAGGGGGTCCGGGCGTGCAGCGACGAGCCCAGGTGGGAGAACTGAGCCTGGGGACAGAGGGAAGGGGGTGGCACTGGGTGTGTGTGTGGGGGGGTATCTTGTGCAGCCCACCCGGCCCCAAAGGGTGCGTGGCAGCAGCATGGGTGGCACATCCTATTATAGCCCTGCCCCAGCCTATTTCTGGCCCACGAATCCCCGGTCCCAGTAAAATCCACCGGGGCCAAAGTAATTACCAGGCAGCAGCAAGAGCTGCTGCTCCACATGCAGGTGTGGGAGCTGCGCCCCCAAGCTCAGCCCCAACCACCTCCTGCCCTGGGCTTGCTGTCCCCTAGTTGGGACCCAAACCCAGCCCTGGGGGTCCCAGCATTGCCCCCCGTGGGCGCTGGGACAGCCTCACCTGTGCCACGGCCCCAGCAAACACCAGGCTCCAGTCGGGCAGCCAGGAGCAGCCAGGCAGCACCAGCCCGTAGATGCAGAGGAGGAAGAAGGGCAGGGCGTAGAACATGTAGATCAGCATCTGGGGAGGGACAGAGAGAAGGTCACCCCGTCCCTGGTGGCAGGGGTGACCAGGACCCAGCTGGGGCCAGCAGGACCCCCATACTGCTCACCTGCACTTTGGGGTAGGCGACGGGGTCGCGCAGGTACGGCTCGTGCTGGTAGATGTACTCGAAGCACGAGTCAGCAGGACAGTCCAGAACCACCTGGGGGGGTTGGAGAGAGGAGGGGAGGTGGGTGGGGGGCAGATGCACCTTCCCCAAGACCCCCCATGCAGGGGCCCAGCACTCACCATCCCCCTGAAGAAGGTGAAGGAGGCCATGAGCAGCAGCACCACGACCAGGGCCACGTCCTGGGGCCGCCGGTACAGGGGTTTGCCTTGCTCCTCTGCCACCTGGGAGAGGGAAATGCCCCAGGTTTGGCCCTGCACCCTCCAGCCCAGCCCTGGCAGGGGCACCGGGCTCCAGGGGCAGCCCCAGCTCACCTTCTCGGGGCTGAGGCACAGCAGCTCCCTGGGCTGCTGGAACAGCCTCACCCCTGCCCAGAGCAGGAGGAGGACGTAGGGCAGGTTGAGCAGGAAGGAAGGGCTGAGCTCGGAGCTGTATTTCCCTGGGGGAGGAGAGCAGGGCATGGATGGATTGCCCACGGGGAGCAGCAACCCCGATGGGCACGGGTGGTGGGGACAGCCCAGGGGGGGTAGCGGGGGCTGGACACGGAGCAGAGCCCCCTCCTCCCCTCCTCATACCAATCATGTTCCCGAGCAGGAACACCACGATGCTCATCATCAGCGAGCCCAGCCAAAAGAGCCCCAGGCTCCTGTAGTTCTTCCTGCAGAGACACCGGGAGCAGGCGCCTCGGAGCTGGCTCCTCATGGAATTTGGGGTCCCCCAAACCCTGTGAGCTCCTCAGGCACCTCTGCCAGGCTCGGGGCTCCCTCCCTGTGGAGTTTGGGATGCTCCAAGCCCCCCCCAGCTCCCCTGGCCCCTGGGTCCCCGCTCACCTGTGGCCGATGGCCGCGATCATGGTGAGGTAGAGCCCGTAGTGGACGATGCCATCCCAGTAACAGATCATGATCCCGTGGGCCGTGCGCAGGTAGGGCTCGCCCTGCCCGGGGTGGGGAGGGACTGGGTCATGCAGGGAGGGGGCAGCTGCCTCCCCACCCCCTCCCCAGGGTACCCCAGGGGAGCTGGGGCTGCTCTGGGTGTGGCAGGAGCAGCTTTGGCAGGGAGAGTTCCATCCACCCCTGCACGGGTAGGGGTTGCAGGGGGCCAGGGTGGGGTGGGCTGGGCTGGTACCTCTCTGACATAGACCTCCATGAAGCCAGAAACGAACCCATCCTCCTCCAGGGCGATGATGAGGTCGATGGCGGAGACGAAGGAGAGCACCACGAACACTGGGGGAGAGCCGGGCAGCTCTGCCAGGGTCCCACAGCTCCCTCCACATCCCCAGTCCCAAATCCCCGTCCCCTGCCCCAACACAGCACCAACCCCCACAGCCTGGGGGGGACTCACCACAGAAAAGGGGGTCCTGGAAGTGGCTCAGGCCGCTGACCAAGAGGATGATGGAGCAGAGGCCGATGAGCACCAGCAGCACCGTCAGCACCAGCAGCGGGGGGTTGCTGTGGAGCAGTGTGGGAGGGGGTCCAGCAGCAGGCACAGCCTGGGGGGTGAAGCCCCATCTCCCCCCTGTCACCTGAAACACTCCTCACCCCCCTGATTTTTAGGGTCAGGGGTCCCAGGTGCTGCCCGTCCTCTGAGAGCAGAAAAGTCTGAAATAACCCCGGGAGGTTCAGAGAGAGACTGAAAAAAGTGTCCTGAGAGAGTGAAGAAATTGTAGGGAAAACCATCCCGAGCACTGGAATTGCCCTCTCAGGGCCTGGAATTGGGACAGTGGCTGAGCAGGGCTGAGTGTGTCCCCCCCAAAAAAACAAAACCGACACCCAAACCTTCCTGAAACACCCAAACCAGCCCAGATGCTTTCAGAAAAAAAAAAACACAAACCAATCAAATCACCGAAGTGTCACCACCCCGGCACATTATTGCCACTGTGTAATTAATTACTACACAACTAATTACTCCCACCAAACGATTAATTCAGAGTTCAAACGCCGTGGAGCAGCAGGGCTCGGGGCTCCCTCCAGCTGCAGGATGCCCGGGGATGGATCCCAGAGATCTGGGCTGCAGCAGGAATGGGAGGAGACGGAAAAGATTGGGAATGAACATGGGGAGAGCTCTGGGAGTGAAGAGTTTGGGTTGAAAGCTCTTGCTGCTGGTGAAGCAAGAGCAGAAATCAGCTGTGGAAATAAATATATAAAAGGAGTGGGAAAAGGAGGGTGAAGGGGCCTGGTGGAAAGGGAAGGAAGGAAAGGGGTGAAGGAACACAAGGGGAGAGCCCTGAGCTGGAGGGTCCTGGGGGGCGGTGGGACTGGAAATAAGGGGAAAATAAACCAGTCAGGGTTTGCATGGAAAAGGAATAAAGGGGGTGAGGAGGGGTGGGGCTCCTGGATCCCCAGGGAGCCGGTCCCAAAGCCCCTGGATGCCGGGCCGGGATCATGGGGTGTCACAAGGCAGGAAAACCGAAAGCAGGGCCGTTATCGGCTGTTGTGACAGTGGCGGTGACCAGGAGGGTGCGGGGGGGTGACATCGGCCACGCCGGGACACGTCAGCGCCCGAGGCGGCAGGGGAGACAGTCTGGGAGGAGAGTGGGGTGTGGAGGGCCCTCCAGAGCCGGGATCACCCTAATTCCAGGGGATTTGGGGGGCTCGGAGCCGCTTTCTGCTCCCCAAACAGCCCCGGCTGTGCCCGACCACCCCGAGCGGGATTGGAAAGGCAGCGAGGCAGCCTCGAAACACGCCGGGAGACTCCCCCCGGGATTGAACCCCTGGCCGTGGGATGGACCCCCCGATCCCGGGCAGGCCCAGCCCCCTGCCCAGGACATGCTCCCCGCTCTCCAGGTCCGGGTGGGACCCTGGGACGGGCCCCCCGTCCCAGTGGGATGGGTCCCACCAGCCTTGGACGTGTCTTGGCACAGCCTGGACTCTCCCCCCGCTCCCGGACTGGTCCCGCCACCCCTCCCCGGGCAGGACCCCAACCCCCGACCCCGGGGGTCCCTGTGGGGGGGTCCCCACTCACTCCGCCAGGGCGGTGGCGCCGGTGACGCCGAAGGCCACGGGGATGGAGAGCAGGGGGGCGGCCAGGGCGCCCGGCCCCGCCGGGAGCTGCATCCCCGGCCCCGCCGCCGCAACCGAGCCCGCGGACTTCGCCCCGACGGCGGGGACCGACAGCGGGCAGCGCCCTTAAAGAGCCAGAGCCGCCCCCGAGGGGACAGCGGGGACCGCGGAGGGGGGGACAGCGGGGCTGGAGAAGGACAGGGGGTCAGAGAAGGCCAGGGGGTCCCACAGGAAGGACAGGGCTTTGGGACAGGGGGACTCAGGATGGGGGTGCCGTGGGAATGACAGGGATTTTGGGGGGATGGCCAGGGGGTCCTGAGGAGGGGAACACCCCCAGGCGCGTCTCTGCACTCCAGGGCTGCCTCGAGAAACAGCTCCAAGGGCTGCGGGGAAGGAGAAAACCACTCTGAGGGGCTTTGAAAACTTCACAACTGCAGGTTCGGGAGTTTTTTTAATGGTTTTTCTTTTTTTTTTTCTTGTTCAATTCATCCTGGAGATCTTAAAAGAGCCGAGAGGACGCGGCTCCTCAGCCCTGCGGGAGGATGGAGCAGATGAAAAGGCAGCGCTTGATCCCCGCCTGCAAAGTGGGAGCGGGAGCTGCAGCCGCGAGGTCTCCGCTCCCCCGACCTCCTCCCCAGCTCGCACACCACCATTTACCCCCCAGCAGCCCCGGGGGAGACCCGGCACAGCAGCCCCGAGCTGGGAACGGAGTGAAAACCCACGGGAGGGTTTATCAACCCCGCCCCGAGGCGGCCACTCAACCTTCCCCCTCCCCCCCATAAAACTGTCACCCGTGTGTCACCAGGTCACTGCTGCGCCCTCGTCCCCAGAGTCCCGCGGCTGGACCCGCACTTTGCCCCGGGCTCGTTCCCGGTGCCTCTGGGGAGGAGCTGGAACGGCGCGGAGAGGGGAAGGACAGAGAAGGATCCAGCTGGGAACGCGCCCGGGGGCAGAGGGGCTTCAGACTCGGGGGCTTGGGCTGAAGAAACCACCCAGTTAACGCACAAAAAAAGGCACAGAAACAGCAAAACGCCCCGGAATTATAACGAAAAAAGGGCAGTGTGAGGCGTTTTGGTGCAATGACCTTCAGCTCTTCCCAAACACTGATCCCTCCCTGTAGGGATGGAGAGAGGGGGCTCAGGAGGGCCGAGGCTGGGGAGATAAAGGGATCAACCTGCTTTGGCTGAGAGAACATCCATGGGATTCAAACAGAATCACCCCCCAAAAGTGTCCAGAAAAGAAACCACATCAACACACCTCAACTTATTTTTCCCCTGAAATCCCTGGAAGAAAGAGCTCCAGAGCAACCTCCCCGCCTAAGAAGACCCCCCCAAGCTGAAAACCCTCCGATTAAAACCAAGGAACAAACAAGTTTTATTTTATTTACAGACTTAAATGAAGAAAATTCATATTTCGGAGGTTTGGTGGTTTGTGTTTGTTTTGTTTTTTAAATGACAACAAAACCCAAATGGCCTCTGACAAACTGTGGTTGAGGGTTTGGTTCCTCTTCCCTCCCCCCCCCAAAAAAAAGCACGGGGAGGGGTGTGTTGGCAAGTCTCTGGTTGTGCCAGGGGTGAACGTAGTGCTCAGGAAACAAGGGGCTGGGACCCCCCACCCTGGGGCTGAGGGAGCTCCCCCTGCACCCCCTCAAAACCCCTGGATCCACGATCCACTCCCCCCCTGCAGGGGGAGAACAGAGGCACTGGATTGCAATGTCAGCTGCAGGGCAGACCCCTGGCACCAGCTGGTTCTGAGGGAACAACGCCCTGACAGCGCAGCCCCCCCAGCCCAGGTGGGAGACAGTCCCTTGGATTTGAAACTTCGACATAAAAATCAAGGAAAAAAACACCCCCCCACACCCCACCCCCAAAAAAAAACATCCCCAGAGCAGCACAAGCTTCGAGACCAGTCGGTATCCCACACAAAAAAAAACCCCCAACCAACATTCCTTGGATGGATTCCATGGATGGGAGTCCCCCCCAAACTGCTCCATGGTGGGGAGGGGGGGATCTTTGGTGCTGCCCCTTCCATGTTCCCTCCCCAAACCCCCCAACCCATCCCTGTCCCTGTGGTGGCACCTGGGGGGGCCTCCAGGCCTTCCCTCTGGGACAGAGGCGGGCGCTGAGGCCTCGGGGCAGTTGGGAAACAGCGGGAAAGACGGGATTGATGGAGCAGCTCCGTCGGATCCACAGCCAGGAGGGCACAGCTGCCCCCCAGGAGGTCCTGCCCCAGCCCCTCCTCAGTAATAGGGTCGCCGTGGGTTGTTCTGTGGGGAAGGAGGAGGAGGAGAAACTGTCACAACTCGGGGTTTTCCACCCAACAGCCGAGCTCAGGAAGCCACTGAGATGTGTCACTCCTGCCCTGCAAGATGGGATTTGCCCCCAGATCGCAGCTTTTGAGGCCTGTTGGGCTCAGATTTGAGGTGAAAACAGGCATTTTGGGCTGCAAGGGGGAAAAACCGGCAAGCCTGGGGCATCTGGAGGGGTTTGGGGTGAAAAAAGCAGGAATTTTGGAGTTCACAGCCCTGGATTTAGGGGGTTTGGTGAATCCAAACTTAAAAGCCTTTTTGCCACCAGGGAAATAATGAATAATCCAGACTAAAAACCATGGAGTCCTGGACAGGCAGAGTGTTTTGACTGGGATGCAGCAGATAAAACCATCCACAAATCCATGTGGGAAGGGAAACTGTGCACCCAGGGATGTTCTGGGTTGATAACTGCACCCAGCAGGGGCACCACAGAGGAACCCCCACAGGTCCAGACACTCCCACCCTTCCAGGATCTGCATGGGAGACTCGGTGGATTTATCCCTGTGCCAGCCCTGTGTTTGGGACACTCCCCCATGGATCTGTGCCTGTGTCTGCCCTGCTTTTGGGACACTTTTACCCACGGATTTGTCCCTGCCCTGGTTTTGGGACCCTCCCTCACCAGTGGATCTGTCCCTGTCCTTTCCCTGTTCCCTGGACTCTCCCCCAAGAGTGGATCTGTCCCTGTTCCTGTCCTGTTTTTGGGGCTCTCCCTGCCCCTTGGATCCATCCCAGCCCCGTTCCTGGTCTCTCCCTGCCCCCTGGATCTATCCTGGGTGCCCCCTCACCAGCGGGTTGGGGCGGAACCGATACGCCAGCATCATCCTCTTGCGGAACGCCTCGTACTCGTCGTCCTCCTTGGTGAGCTCAGCGGGGCGGTCGATCCCAAAGCCAGCCCCATCCACAGCCGTGGTGCCCCTGTTTGGGGAGAGGGAAGGAGGGCAAGCAGGTGAGAGAGAGAGAGAGAGCTCAGGGGGTTTCCACCTTCCTGGATCCCCCTCCTCCCCAGATCAGTGAGGTCTGTTGTGGTCCCACCAAGCGGGGATGCACACAGGGATTGGTTTCACAGCAAGAGCAGGAACACCTCCCTCCCTGGAGGGGCAGGGATGGTGACACCACACGCCTGCCTCCTGCCCCCTCACTCCAGCAGGATCGATCCCTTCCCACCTCTAACTGCGTCTGTCAGCTCATGGATGGTCCATGGCCACATCCTGCCTTCCTTCTGGGAATCTCTTCCCACCTTTTACCCCTCTGAACCAATAACCACACGGCCCAGAGCTTTGCACAGACACTTCCTCCTGCACAGGGAGCTTATTCCTAGCAGGGCCTACCCCTAAGAACCAGCTCAAGGAGCGTTCCCCATCCCCAATGCTCAGTTTTGAAGCCCAACATATGCCAGTGACAGATGATTCCACCCGAAAAGAGACGCACGTTTATTTCTGGCTACCGCTCCCAGAGCTTTGTGACGCGCCAAGTGTGATCAAATCACGACATTCCTGGGCACAAAGAGCCACATCGAGGCCTGACAGGATCCCACAAGGCTCTGATCTGGGCTGGGACACCCTTCACCCACAGCTCTGGCTGGGTTTGCCCCTGTTCTTTAATACTCCCAAGAAGTTTATGGCTTTAAAGAATCCCAGAGGGAGAGAGGGGAGGTGCAGACAGGTGTTATACCTTCCTAAAAGGTAATTATATCATCTTTACAAGCTGGGGGAGGCACCTCACTGTGCAGCCTGGGCAGCGTCTGTGGCTCAGCCACGAGGCACAGCAGCAAAGCCAGGTTTTGGGGGTGAGTAAAAGAGCCCAAAAGGAACCAGGAATATCCTCCCGTGCCCCAGAACTCCACGTGCTGCTCAGGTGATGCCTCACTGAAGCCACACTGCCTGCAGCCCCCCCGCCCCGAGGGAATCCACAGGGAGGGGAGCTGTGCTTACTTGCTGACAGGGTTCTTAATGCCCTGCCCCTCTGATCCCAGCCCCTCTCCTTCCTTCCAGCCCATCTTCATCAGCATCTGGTAGCCAATGTTCTCCACGGTCAGCTTGAACTCCTTGTACTCCGAGTAATCCGGCTCCCGCCCCTCCTGCGGACACACAGAAGGGAGGCTGTTGTAGCTGGGGAGGGGGAAAAGCAGCTCCAGGCACCCCAAGTCAGGCTGGTTTTCTGGGGGGTTCCTTGGGATTCCAGCCCTGCAGCAGCACAGAGGAGGAAAGCAGGCCCTGCACGGAGCAGGGGGAGCTGCCGGGGGACCAGGAACGTTCAGCTCCTGCATTTTAAGCTGCTCGGCGGAGGGAGTTGCAGATCCAGTTCCTACTTAAGCCAGAAATCTCCAGGGAACATCAGGGCCCCACGCTGGATGCAGGGGAACGGGGAGGGATGTGCCAGCATCAAGCAGTTCTGGGGTTTAGGAAGAATTGGCAGGTACTGGAGCGCTTTGCATAAGCTCTTTGTGGGCTTTGTGCTTTCACTTTGCTGCAATCATCGGGATAAAAATTCTAATTTCCCTTAGCTTGGCATCAGCAGCCGCTTATCCCAAACAGGGACTGCGGGTGGGCGGTCTGAGGGCTTGGTGGGGAATTCCAGCAACCCCCCAAAAAAACCCATCGGGTCATGGAATGGTTCGGGTCGGAAGGGACCTCAAAGCCGACCCAGTCCCACCTCCTGCCGCGGGCAGGGACACCTTCCACTGGACCAGGGGTGCTCCAGCCTGGCCTTGGACACTCCCAGGGATGGGGAATCCTCTGGGAAATCCACTCCAGGGCCTCCCCACCCTCACAGGGAAGGATTTCTTCCCACTGTCCCATCCAGTGTTGCCCTCTGGGGCACTCCAGGCCCTTGTCCCAGGTCCCCTTCCAGCTCTCCCCGAGCCCCTTCAGGCACTGGAAGGGGCTCCAAGGTCTCCCTGGAGCCTTCCCTTCTCCAACCTGGCCTTGGAAGCGCTGCCACCACCCCAGGAAGTCTCTGCTGTGTCACCTTCAGCGCCTTGAAGGTCTCCATGAACTTCTCCAGCTCGTCGGGCGGGAGGAAGTCCCCGATGAAATGTTTCCCTCTGCCCATCTGGGTCAGCTGCTCGGCCCACTCTGCCAAAAGATGAGAGGAAACAGGGATGAGAGAGTGTTCCCTGGGATTTCAGGGGGGCTGAGAAGCACTGGGATGGACATCTGTTGTCCCCACTCAGGGAAAAGCGACCCCGCCGGTCCCGCTCCCGCCGTGGGAGATGCCCCTGGGAGGCCCTGCCCCACACACCTCGTGTCTTATCCATCTCCATGCGCCTCAGCTGGTGCTCCCAGGTGCCCAGCTCGCTGTCCACCTCCTCATCACTGTCATAGCCGTGCTGGTGCTGCTGGATGGCCTTTTCCCACATCATCTGCATCTCCTGCATGGCCCGTTTGTGCTTCATGATCATGTCGTACATCTGCTGCATCTGAGGGGGCACCAGGCGTGCTCAGAGCCCTGCCCTGCCCCAGCTGCTCCCCCAGACCCCCCTGGGTCAGTTCCACACCCCCTGGGGCAGAGCTGCTGCTCCATCTCCCCTCAGACACGAGCCCTCCCTGCTGGTTCCTCCGACAGAGCCCCCTGAGCATCCCCACCACCCTCCAGCAGCCAGTTCTGCTCCCATCCCCCCCAAATCCTGCAGGAATCTCCTCAACTCCACCCCCTCCAACCCCACTGCTGAGCAGCCCCGACCCAGCTGCAGCTGTGACACCACAGACCTTTATGGATTTTGGGTTTAGGCTGGTAGGGCAGCAATTGGCTGCTTCCATCCTTATTCCCCAAAGGCCTGGGCTGTTCCTGCTGACTGCAGCATCCCGTGGATCTCAGGCATCCAGCACAAATCCGAGAGATTTATTTGCTGCAAAGGTTTCTTTGCTCCTTTCCCCCCCCACCCCACTATCAATTTTGGGAACCATTTCAGGGCTTCACCTCCTGCTGCTCCTTCAGCTGCTTCTTCTGGGCCTCGGAGAGCTCGGTCACACCCACCAGGCCCACGGGCTTCCCCTTCTCGTAGCCAAGGCCCTTCAGGTCCTGGACTGTGAAAAACACGTGTTAAGAGGCCGTTAAAAACCTGAGAGCCCAGTGAAGGCAAATCCCAGCTGGGAGGGACCCGAAGGATCATCCAGTGCCACCCCCCAACCCTGGGCAGGGCAGGGACACCTCTCACCAGACCAGGCAACCTTGGACAAGTCCAGGTTGTTTATAGGATTTTTATAAAGCGTGAAGGAAAGGAATAAAAACATCCGTGGGGCTCAAAAAAAACCCCACAACAAAACACAAAAGAGATTTCCAGGAGAGAGATTGCCTTGCAAACTTGGTTCATGTATTTCCAGCAGGGCTGGCAGCTCCTCCCTAAAGCACCTCTCAGACACTGAAGAGCTGGAAAGAAGCCCCAAAACGCTCTGCATTTATCAGTACAAGGGGAAGGATTGCTTCCTAATGACTGCCAAGCCCCCGTGGATGCGTGTGAGTGCAGGGCCAGCCTGCAGTTAAGTGCTGCTTCATTCATCATTCATGATCTATTAATTACGAAGCCCAATTACCGGACGATCATTGTTCACCACACCCCATCTCGGTAATGAGGCCCCTGGGGTGGGGGGGTGGAGGGTTTAGTGTCCCCCTCCTTCCAAATTCCCGCTCAGGGCACTCGATCTGAGCACTCTGATCCCCCCAGATCTCCTGGTGGTTTCCTTAACTCCAGGACACCCCCCAGCTCTTTCCCTCCACTCCCCCCAGTTCCAGGCCCTGCACACTCACCCTCCGTTATGTAAAACACTGCAAGAGGTTTTCCAGGAGTGTGACGCCAGGAAAGTGCACTGTCAGCTCCCAAGAAACGGGAGCAAACGGGAGAATAAACCTATTTCTTGCTGAGGGCCAGCCTGGTTCCTGTCTGGGGGGAGCAGGGGGGGAGCTGGGAATGGGTTTGATGGACACGCCGGGGCTGATGCTTGAGGGTGCTCCGGCATCACCTCCCGGCTCAGGGCATGGGAAAAGCTTTCCCTGAATGCTCCAAGGAAAGCTCTGCCCTTCACAGAGGTCACAGCAGCTCGTGCCTTCCCTCTGAACTGCAGGAACACCCGGCTGAGAGCTCCAGAGGCTCCCCAGGCAGCGCCTTCCCAGCAAACCTTAAAGCAGCCACCTTAAAGGTGAGGCCGAGCATCCTCCTTCCCAGGAATGGGATCCCACTGCTCCTTCCCCTCCCTAAACCACCCCCTCCCCGGGCTGTCTGACTGCTCTGGGGCTTTGCAGGCTCGATGCTCAAAGGCACTGCAGGAATTCAGCCCTGGGAGGTGCTTTTTTTGCGGCCCTGGCCCAAAGGACCACAACAGGGCAAAGTTGGGAGAAAAGGCAAAGGCTCCACCCCGAGCTCCATCTGCAGATGGAAAAGTGTTCACAGATAACACCGAGGAATTTGCACAGAAATAGGTAAGATTTCTAACTTCCCCCCACACACACACACTTTCTGGCACCAGGCAAACACAGTGCAGAAGGCAAGGAGCTGCTGCTCAGCCTCACATTCAGCAGGGTTGGGAAAAATACCTTTTTCTTTTTTTCCCCCCCTCCCTGGAGTGACATCGGCTTTGCCCACAGGGTTAATGGTGCAGTGTGTCTGCAGCGTTGGCAGAGCAGCACCTGAAGCTCTGTCCCTCTCCTAGATGCCTGAAGAGCAGCTCCTTACAGGAGAAACCGCAGCACACGAGTGCTCTCCTCCTTCCCAGCCTGAAGATCTTTAATTCAGGCTAATCAGACCCAAGCTCAGGTTTTCACGAGGTGGCAGTGACAGCCTGTAATTTGTCATTAACCCCCAGAGTTCACTAATCACACACCTCTGGCTCAGCTTTTCGGATCCATCAGCCCCTGCAGGGAGCCAGGGAAGTGTTTTGGTGTCAATATATTCGAGAGGAGTCTTGCCTCTCTCCAAAAAAAGGGCCACACTTTCTCCTCTCTCCACCATCCTGATCTATCACCCAGGGAGGACAGGAAAAGAATCCTCCCCCAAACCCAAAACAATTGCTGAGGATCAAGGACTAAGACACACACATTTAGGTACCAGAGCAACTCTCCCCTTCCACAGGACCAGAAATTTGCAACTGCCTTAACCTGTCAGGGTGAGGCTGTTAATTCCAAAAGGGATTAGTCCAGTTGAACTGATAACAGAAATTAATCCTTCCCCCTGCAGAGCATTAAGGGCTGATTTGTTCTGCCTGGCAAAGTGGTTGCTTGTCCTTTTCTTCTGCCTGACACAAAGCCCTGAGCAAAGGGAGCAGCAGCAGCACCAGGAGCGTGTCCCTGCCCAGTCAGGGGGGGCTGAAGGAGCCAGGGGAGTTCCAGCACGCTGGAATGAGCACGTGGATACCCCTGCAGCTCCCCCCACTGCAGCACTGGGACTGCTGGGCTTGGAGAGCCCCTGCTCAGCTTCACCATTGTCTGCAAGGCAAAGTTACTGGAAATGCAACGATCAGGGAAGATTTTTGCCCTGCAAGGAGCAGCAACCCAAGGCCAGCGACTCCCCCATGGTGGGGGGGAAAATCCCCACAGGATTTCTGTGCAGGGCCAGTGAGCAGGGGGCAGAAGCACCAGGAACTCCTCTCCCCTCTGCTTTGGAGGTGCTGGGTAAGGGGCAGAACCCTTCCTGGGCACCAGAGCCCACCCAGCCTAATGCCAGGATTAAAATGCTGAGCAGTAATTCCAGCCCCAGGAGCGGAGCCAGGGACTTGCTGGAGAAATGAGCCTCAAATCAGCCGAAAATTAGAGCTCTTGCCATCCCTTGTCCCACTCCATCAGTTCTGCTGCTGCTCTTTGAAAAGCTCCTCCTTGCTCTTTTTGTGGGTTATTAATCCTCTCAGTTTCCCTTTCTTCTCCCATCTCCCTTCCCACTCCAGGCTAATTGGGCAGAGGCGCCTTTTGAAGTGTCTGTGTTCACCTGCTGTCCCCCAGTGACTCTGGTTTTGTGCCCTCCCCAAGCACCCAACCACAGCTCTGCCCAGGCACGGGTGCAGCTCAGCCACCCCCCCAGAGCTCCAGGGATAACATTCCAGCTCTCGGGAAAGAGCATTTCGTGCTCACAGAGCTGGGGCAGGGTAAAAATTTAGGGCCACTTCCCAGCCCCCCACTGACCTGAGAGAGGGGAGGGAGAGTCCAGCTGCTGCACCAGCTGTGGGAGGGGCAGCTCCACCTTGTCCTCCTCCGGCCCCCACCGGCTCTTCCGCTTCTTTTTGGTGGTGCCCGGAGCGGCCGTGGGGGTGGTGGGGGTCGTCTGGTCAGGGGGGGTGGTGGAGGAGGAGGATGGTGAGGGGGAGGAGGGGGGCACAGGGAGGGCTGGGGGCACTGCCAGGGGCACGGGCAGAGGGGAGGGGACGGGCAGGGGCGAGGGGATGGGCACGGGAAGGGGCAGAGGGGCGGGAACGGGCACGGGAAGGGGCAGAGGCAGCGGGGAGGGAAGGGGCAAAGGCAGGGAGGGGAAGCACAGCGGGGAGGGGGAGGCCTCAGGGCTGGTTTTCCTTTTCAGGCTGGGCTCTCCAGGGAAAGGGGCACAGCCAGGGCTGGCCTTGGCCTTCCGGAACTCCTCCAGCTTCTGCCTGTAATACTTGTAGCCTTTGCTGTTTGGCTCGTACAAAAACCTAAAAAAAAAACCCCAAAAAACATAAACCCACCAATAAAACCCAAAGAAACAAGAGTTTAAGCCGTGGCAGCCACACACTGTGCTCAGGGCTCCCCCTTCCCACTCCTGCAGTGCCCAGAGCCCTCCCACGGCATTCCCAGCTCTCCAGCACCGCCCCGTGTGCACCCACAGCCAGCGCAGGGCTTTTCCACCCCCTGATCCCACACTCCCCATGCGTGGTTCCCTGGTTTTTGACGCCAAACAAACCGGGAGTTCTGGAAAAATATCAGACCCCCCCCCCCACCTTTTGCAGGAAGGCAAAGCCCTCTCCCTAAAAATTCACCTGCTCGGAAAAGCTGGCTCTGCCCCCGCCATTCCCCACCCCTTTTAAAGCAGGGAGGGGAAAAAAAAAGGAAAAGTGGATTTTGGTGTACCTGAAAGCGGGGTTCTCTCTGTTGTTCTGCAGGGCAATGGCCTCCACCTCGGGCCCCCCGGCCGCCACAAACCTGGCCAGCTTTTCCGCCGACTCCCTCGTCCCTTCGTCGTCTGGGGGCGAGACTTTAAGCGGGCCCTGAGTACTGGGGCCCAACCCAACAAGCAACAGTCAAAGCCTACCTGGTCTAAGGACCCCAAGAGCAGAATAAGGGCAAAAGTGGAGTTTAAACGGGAGGAAATGGCAGCACAGGAGCAGTTCAGAGCACAGACAGGAACAGTTCAGAGCACACAGCACACAGTGCCAGGGCAGGGACACACCCAGCCCGGTTTCGGGCTTCCAGGGGGGCACTCGGCCCTCCCTGCTGGGGTGGCATTTGAACCCTGTGCCAGGCACTTTTCCACGGGGTTACACCCCTCAGGATTACCCCTGGATTGCATTTTTCCCTGTGCCAGGCATTTTTCTGCAGGGTTACACCCCTCAGGATTATCCCTAGATAACAATTTTGCACTTTTCCACAGGGTTGCACCCCTCAGAATTACTCCTGGATTGCAGTTTTCCCTGTGCCAGGCACTTTTCCACAGGTTTACATTCTCAGAATTACACCTAGTTAAAGATTTTGCATTTCTTTCCCCCCTATGCCAGGCACTTTTCCACAGGGTTACACCCCCCAGGATTATCCCTGGCTCAGAATTTTCCCCCCTAGAAGGGCCCAGGAGCAGCAGGGAAAAACCTTTGGAAAAGGGGCCAACTCCACATTCCCCACAATCCCAAGCTGCCCCTTCACACCTGGAGGCTGCTTGAGGGGAAGGCAGAGGGAAACGACCATATTTTTTGTGGGCCCAAAAATTGGCTCCTTGTGCAGTTCATCTTCCCCGGCTCCCAGTGGGAATTACCTTTGTGGGAAGAGGCTGCCTGAGAACTTTGATTCTCTTTCCTTATCTCTGCCACTTTCTTTCTGTAGTAAAGGAATTCTCTGCTGTTCTTATCGTGCAAAAACCTGGATGGAAGAAAAGAAAAAAAACAGGCAAAAAACCCCCACGGATCAGCAATTCATAAATATTGGTACTCTGGGGTAAAAAAACCAGCTCAGATCACAAAGGAAAAACAGAAAAATTACTCAGAACGCCCTCAAAACGTGGATTTAGCATTTGCAGACGTGCAGAGCTCTGATCCAGGGACCTGCACCCAGATTTGTGTCACTTGAAGGGACATAAAGAACAATCTGTCCTGATGCGGGAGGGAACCCTCTGCCCACCAGTCCTGGGATCACATCCAGCATTCCCACGGGCTGGGAGTGGCACAGGAGCTCTGCTCCCTCCTCAGCACCACCGTGGGGGCACTTTCTGCCTCAGCCACTCAACAGTTACTCCTGACAGAGCTTAAATCCACCACGGAATCTTGGAGTGGTGTGGGTTGGATGGATCATCCATTGCAGGGGGACTCCCTCCCAGTGTCATTTCCACCCGTCAGAGGCTTAAAACCCTCTGGAAATAACATCCCAGAACGGTTTGGGTGGGAAAGCATCTGAAGGATCATCCAATTCCAACGGGCAGGGACACCTTCCACCACCCCAGGCTGCTCCAACCCGGCCTTGGGCACTTCCAGGGAGGGGGAATCCGCCCTCCATCCCGGTTTTGACACAAAAATTGGACGCAAACCCTTGGATTGGAGCTCTGCGTGCCCACAAACCCTCAAACCCACCTTTGAAGTGCCTCCCCACCGCCCTGGGAACACACAACCCACCCCAACCCTGCCGTTTCCCCGCCGGGAGGAGGCGAGGCCGGGGCTGGGACCGCTCCTCCCGCACTTACGAAAAAGCCGGATTATCCTTGTAGTCCTCCATAGCGACCTTCTCTAACTCGGGGCCCCCTTCAGCCACGAACCTGGCCAGCTTTTCCACCACCTCCCGGGTCTCCGCATCCTCTGGGGGTAAAACTTTAAGCAGGCTGTCAGTACTGGGGCTCAACTCACACACCAGGGCCCCGCGGCCGCCGCCCCCGCGGGGGGGGACGGGGAGCGGGGCACGGCGCATCCGGGCGGGCGCAGGCGCGGAAATCACGGCTCCCAACCGAGCGGCGGGCTCTCTGACTCCCTTAGGAGTTAACGGGCTGGGTGGCTCCTACAAGGAAAAGCCCGAGATGTGGATCCCGGGCCGGGCCGGGTTGGAAGGGGACCCCGAAAGCTGGTCCGTCCCCCGCGCCCTGCCGTGGGCAGGGACGCCCTTCCACCGGCCCGGGGTCGCTCCAGCCTGGCCTTGGGCGCTCCCAGGGGTGGGGGATCCACAGCTCCATCCCAGTCCGGAGCTCCAACTCAGCGGAGCTGAACCCAAACTGCCTCTGGTCGTGGCGTAACTGTTCTCCTGACCGTTTGTATTCCATACAAAACACACCAGGCAGGACCAGGAATTTGGGTCGGCGGCTCGAACCACCACGTTACTCACTGGAGATTCCAGATTCCAGCTCCCCAGACATTCCCTGTCCCCAGCTCGTGGACACAGACTGTGTGGCTGGAGCAGCAGCTCTTCCTGCTGGCACTGCCCATGTCCTGCTCCAAAAAACTGGATTTTGGCTTCTGTGCCAAAGGGAAAAGCCCAGGAACTCCGACAGGGATGATGTTCAGTGGGAACTTAACACAGGCCTTTGTCCGGGCCAGGAGATTTTTTTTTTTTGGGAAGGGCAGTGGGAAGAGCAGAGTCACCCACGGGATCAGCCCCACAACCCCTAAATTCAGGCTCCCCTCTGCTCCCCACAGCCACTTCTCCCACTCCTCCTGGAGCGTTTTGTGCCCAAGCTCAGAATTCCCTGGATTCTGCTTTTCCAAATCCCAGCAGGGACAGGGGTTTGGAGATGTGTCACGGAATAAATGATGGTGTGACTTATTGGGCAGCTCCAAGCTCGTTTCAGGCTTGATTAATTAACACACCCCCAAGAAATTCACATTGTGGGGCAAATCTGCCTTGGGGCTTCCTGGCCTGGGTTATCCAGACAAACTGTGGATAAGTGCCTGGTTTTCCATCCTGTTCCTTGGGTTTCTATCCCACTTCAAGCACTCAGGACCCCGAGGTGAGATTTCTTTTTTACCAAAACTCAGTAAAAGAGGCAGGGATTTGGGTCCTACCTGGTCCCAGCTCCCCACAGGACATGCCATTCATGTTTATTAACACCCCACACCTCCCAAACTGATGATTTCTCTTTTTTTTCACCACCTAAAGCCACTTAAAATCCCATTTCAAACACCAACATCAGGATTTTTCTGGAGAAATCAGCACCTGGCCCAAAGCACTGAAATGGCCAAACTCAGAATTCTTATGACTAACAAACCACCCCAGGCCCACTAAGGGCAGGTCATTTTTATTCTCTGCACCTTATTTTCACAGGTTATGGGCTGGTCAAGCACCTGGGTTGATTAAATTAAAGAAAATAGATCTTTCTAAGCCTGGTCTAAGTCTGGAGAGAGATACTGAGCTCAGGCTGGGTCAGTGATACCTCAAATATCAGTCTGGGGTTGGGAGAGACCTTAAAGATCCTCCAGATCCTCCAACAAACAGCAAACAGAATAAAAGCAGAATAATAAGCTGTAATTAAGATACATAAAAATAGGGTTGCTGTTGAGAATCGTGTCTGAGATAAATGTGGCCTAAATTTCCCCTAAATCAGGAATGTCATCAACCAGACCTTGGTGTCTCTGCTGAAGTTTCTGCTCCAGCCACTGCTCATAATCCTGTCCCTGCATGACCCCCTATCCCGGGATTAGTGCTCCCAGATGTCTGGAGCACAAATCCCTACACACAACCCCTACCCTGGGATCAGTGCTCCTGCATCCCAAACCTGCTGGAGCACAGGGAATCACTGACCTTTGATCTCCTTTCATTGCTCATAATCCTGTCCCTACACTGAACCCCTATCCCAGGATTGGTGCTCCTGCATCCCAAACCCCCGGAACACAGGGAATCACTGACCTTTGATCTCCAGCCACTGCTCGTAGTCCTCGTCCTCCTCCTCGTCGGGGCCCTGGAAGACGCTGGGGCGGGGCAGGGGCAGGGCAGGCCCGGGCCGGGGCTGGGGGAGGCTCCGTGCCTGGTGCAGCATCCGGCTCAGGAGCTGCCGCTTCCCGGGGAGCCGCTTCCCGCTGCTCCCGCTGCTCCCGCTGCTCGGGGCCGGAGCGGAGCTGGGGGGCGGGCTCTGCAAGGGGGGGAAGCAGAGGGAGAATTCCTGGGATGAGGGGTTTGGATCGGCGGAGAAATTACAGGGTGGGGGGAGGCACTGAGGGGGAAAGCAGAGTAAAAGCAGGAGGGGTTTTGTGTTTAATTGAGGTAATGAATTACATTTGTTAGCGGATAAATTTAGCCAGGGAAATCGGAAGGAAATTTCTTTGAGTCAAAATTCTTGGAAAGGAAGTGGACTCCAAGGAACTGGAAAGGAACTGAAGAGGAATTGGACTCCAAGGAGCTGGGACTCCAAGGAGCTGGGACTCCAAGGAGCTGGGACTCCAAGGAGCTGGGACTCCAAGGAGCTGGGACTCCAAAGAAATTTAGGAAATTTTAAGGAATTTTTAAATAAACGTAGTTAATTTGAAAACACTGAAATCGAAGCGATTTAATTTGTTATTATTAATTTAATCTGAATTTTGTTTAAAACACAAGCCAAAAAAAAAAAAAAAAAAAAAAACCAAAAAACAACGCTGATGATTGTTCACAAAGAGAGATTCGAGCCAGAAGAGAACTGCTTGACTTCACAGCATGAGGAGGGTGGGGGGGGAAATGGAAAGAAAGAGGGAAAACCTTCCTGGGGCATCCCAAATCCAGCCTTTAACCCGGATTTTCAGGGATAATCATCGCCTCAGAACTTCCTAGCAGGGGTTCAGGCAGGAGCAGGGACTGCCCCAGAGCCTGGAGCTCGGGATGGACCTACCAGCACTTGACTTTTCCTTCTGGAGCTTGAGGAACTGCTGCAGGAAGCTCCCATCGTTCACAAACTTGTTGGACACGGAGGCGTCGCTTTCGGATCCGTCATCGCTGGGTGGGGAGAGAAGAAGGGGGAGATGGAGCTCAGGAGCCTGCCCAGCCCCTCCCACACTGGGGATTTGGGGGCAGAAAATGGGATAAAACCCCAGGAATTAGGAATAAAAAGGGGGAGATGGAGCTCAGGAGGCTCCCCAGCCCCCAGGGATATCAGATCATAAATATATCCATATATAACTTCTATCATAAATATGTCATAATTAGATCAAAATATTAATATGTCATACCCATAATTCCTATGGTAAATATATCTATACATAATTCCTATCATGGATATATCATATCAATACATTGATAAACCATATATATAATCCTATAACATGTCAACACATCATTTCTATCACAAATATATCAATCTTAATATATCACATATATAATTTCTATGCTGAATATAACAAATATATTAATACATTAATCACACATAATTAGTGTAATGAATAAGTCAACATGTAAGTTACTAACAAATATCCAAATATGTTAATAAGTCATATAGAGAACATAATGACTATAAATGATTATATATAAAATTGTAAATTATATATATAATTTCTAAGAAACATTTCCCTTCTGTTAAAGCCTGAAATCCTGAAATTCCCCCATGGATCACCCCAATCCTCACCCCTGGCTCAGCCCCTCACTCCAACATTCCCGCAGAGCTCCTCCTCTCCCTCCCCACCCTCTTCCCAAAACGCCCCTTGTTTGGAGCCCTGGAACTGCGGAGGCTCCACGTACTCTCCGAGCAGCGGGAGCTGGGGGATGCTCAGGGAGTTCTGCCTCGCCTGCTGCTCCAGCCGGGCCTCGATCTCCCGCTTTTTCTGGGCGATGAGCTCCTCCTGCTGCAGGATGTTCACGCTCGTCTTGGCCGCCTTGGACTGGGAAGAGCCGAACCACCGGCTGGCCTTGCCTGCGGGAAACAGAGGGGATTATTGGGGATCGTCCTGGAAAACACCGGCTCGCCTTCCCCGTGGGAAAAGGGAGCAGAACACTAACGGGGGAGAGGAGGGGCCATCCCAAACCGCCGCCTCGCCTTCCCTGCAGGGAAAGCGGAGGGGAATATTAACGGAGGGGAATATTAACGGAATATTAACGGAGTATTAACCAGCGCCTCGCCTTCCCAGCTGGAAACCAACGGAGCTGGGGAGTGGGGGGGTGGAGAGCGAAGCCACGGCACCCCACGGGCACACAGCCACCCGTGGGGCACAGGCAGCCCCGCGCGGCTCCCGGAGCGCCGGGAGGGAGGCGGGAGGGAGGGGAGGGAAGGAGCGGCGGGGCCGGGGGGACGGCGGGGCCGGGCCGGGCCGTACCTGGAGCATCCCGGTGGTTGTCCATTTTGGAGTCCCCTTCCCAGCCTGCCCCGCGCGCCGGGAGCGCCGCGCCCGGTGGGGGCCGCGCGGCCGCGAAGGCTGCTGGGAGTTGTAGTCCCTGCCCGGAGGGAGGGTGCTGCGCTGAGGGAGGCGGTTAATTAAGTCTGGCGGTTAATTGGCTAATTAATCGCCCGCGGAGCGCTGCGGCCGGCACGAGGCGTTTTGGGGGAAAATGTGGGGAATTTCCAGTTTGGCTACATCAGCATTGAGGCGCCACAGTGAAAGCGTGGGGAGAGAAACGTTATCTATTATGCGCTCCATCTTATATATATTATATGCTATATATCATATTTCATATAACATATGCATTATGTATATTCTAATATATGATAGAACACAGACATTTTAAAAAGACACTTTGGAGACATCCTAAAAGCTGTTTTAAAACATAATTTTAAAGGAAAGAGAACTTTTAAAGGAAGGTGGGGGGGGAGCGGAACAGGCCCGACCGCCCTCACCCCGCGCTCTGCCAGCGGGGACTACAACTCCCAGGAGCCCCCGCGCGCGAACCACAACTCCCGCCGTGCCCCGCGGCCCCCGCCCGTGTTGTCGGCGGCCCCAAGATGGCGGCGGTGGCGGCGGGCGCGGCGGCCCCTCAGCAGCCGCCGCCGCCTCAGCAGCCGCCGCAGCCGGCGGGAGGCGGCGGGGCGGGCTCCGGGGACGCCGCGGGAGCCGCGGGTGGCGCCGGGGGCGGCGGCGCGGGCGGGGGCGGCGGCGGCGCGGCCGGGCCCGCGGCGGGGTCGGGAGCAGGGGGCGGCGCGGCCGCGGGCGAGTCGTGGTACCTGGCGCTGCTGGGCCTGGCCGAGCATTTCCGCACGTCCAGCCCGCCCAAGGTGCGGCTCTGCGTGCACTGCCTGCAGGCCGTGCTGCCCCGCAAGCCCCCCGCCAGGATGGAGGCCCGCACGCACCTCCAGCTCGGCTCCGTCCTCTACCACCACACCCGCAACGGCGACCAGGCCCGCGGGCACCTGGAGAAGGCGGTGAGTGGGGTGGAGGGGGCGAGGGAGGGGGCTCCCGGTGGGTGCTGGTCGCGGACTAACCCCCTGTGTTCCCTTGCAGTGGCTGATATCCCAGCAGGTATCCTTTTCCTGGCACATCCCTGCCTGGTCCGCTGTGTTGGGTGGGAGCACATCCAGGGAGCGGATGGATCGGGGGGAAGAGCCGAAAAATTCTCTCTGTTTTTCCAGTTTTTGCCTCTTCTCTGCTCCCTAAGAGCCTTGAGGTCTTCAAAGAAAGAATTAATTGTCCTTTACAGGTGCTGAGCACGAAACACCTCCATGGAAACTCCCTAAACGCCTCCACGAGCCTGGGGTGGGGGTTTAACTGGTGCTTTTAATCTGTTTTAAACCTATTTTTAATGTATTACATCACTTGGGGGCCTCCTGCGTTGAACCCCGGGATGGTTTGGCTGGGAAGGGGTATTTAAAGCCCATCCCATCCCAGCTCTCCCGAGGGGTTTAAGGGCTCTTGGAGGCCAGGCTGGGGCTGTTCCCCACCCGGTGCCCGCTGTGCCTTAACTCTGGTGCCAGATCCCGCAGTTTGAGGACGTGAAGTTCGAGGCAGCCAGTTTGCTGTCGGAGCTCTACTGCCAGGAGGTGAGTGGGGCCTCTCCTTCGGGCCCTGGAGCAGCTGATTCCCATTAATAGTACAGTTTTTATGGGGTTTATGGGGTTGTAGTGTGAATACCAAGTTAAAATACTGAGTCAAAATATTAAGCTAAAATACAAAGCTAAAACAAGGCTTTTTGTTGTCTTTTTTTTTTTGTTTATCCTGGAAGCCCCTGCTGGAATCGCAGCGTGGCTTTTCCCAAGGGAGTTTTCCTTGGCCGAGGGGTTCCTTTGCAAAGGCTGGTTTTGGGGGTGGGATGTGGGCAATAAGAGGGTTTTCCTCAGGGGTTTAGAACCACGGAAAGCCCACCCAGTGCCACCCCCTGCCCTGGGGACACCTCCCGCTCTCCCAGGTGGCTCCAGCCTGGCCTGGGACGCTCCCAGGGACGGGGAAGCCACCGGGAATCCTCTCCCAGCATCTCCCCTCTTGCTTTTCCTGCTTCCCACGCCTTTAAATTCTCCATCTCCACGACCCAGCAGGCCGTGGGTCTGATTTCAGGCTCGCTGTGAGGGTGTGGGGTTGTGGGATTCCCAAATTCGCGGTGTCCCGGCTTTGCGTTGCAGAATTCCGTGGACACGGCGAAGCCGCTGCTGCGCAAGGCCATCCAGATCTCCCAGCAGACTCCCTACTGGCACTGCCGCCTGCTCTTCCAGCTGGCAGTAAGTGATCCCCGTCCCTGCAAAGGGAAAAGGGCTGGGAAGAGCCTTGGGATGCCCTTTCCACACCCCCCTCAGCCCTGGGTTGGGGGTGTGAAGAGGGAGGGGAAAGAGGAATCCGTGGTTTGAGTGGGCTGGGTGGAGGCAGGAGGGGGAGGGAAGCAGCAGGGATCGTCCCGTGGGAACTGGGAATGCACAGTTCCAGAGGTGGAGTGGGGGAAAAAATCAAACTGTGGCTCGCAGGAAATTGCCTGAAGTGCTGCTGGAATTGGGGTTTGCCAGGGTGAGGTGTTGTTGGGGTATTTTCTACTTCTTTGGTAGGTGTGGGAGGGGAAAAGGAGCAGGAGAAAGGTGTCCAGGGAAAGAGTTACTTTTCCTCTTCTGGAATATGCTCAGAAGTGTATATTTTATATATATATATATGTATATATGTAAGTATATTTATAAGTTAAATTTATAAATAAATTGTAAAGTACGAAGTCTATGGTTTTGTAGTTTATATAAATATAAAGCTCATTTTATATGTATTTTATTTTCATGTAAGTATAAATTATAAAAACAAGTGTAAGAATATATATAATATAGAACTGCAAAGATAAAATATGCATAAAACGAGCTTCAGCTGCACAGGTCAGGCCTAGGAATTCTGGGGATGAACTGGTGCAAATAAAGCTGGAATTGGCAGTGTTTGGTGTTTGTCCCAGTCCTCAGCTGCTCCTAAAGTGCTGGTTTTCCTGGGTGATCCAAAGTGTTGGGTGGGAGCTTTTAAGCCTGTCCTAAATGCCCTGTGCTTTCCTTTCCCCCCTTCCTGCTGAGCTCAAACCACACAGGGTGGAGGCTGCTCTGCTCCTCCAGCTGGAAAAGGCTCCGTTCCCGTTCACTCCAACTGAACAATCCGTGGTCTTCACTTGGAGAACTCGTTAATTGGTTCCATGGAGAAAACACCCACCTTTTTGTGTCCTTTATTTTTTGGTTATTTCAGCAACTCCACACCCTGGAGAAGGACTTGGTGTCCGCGTGTGACCTGCTGGGGGTGGGAGCGGAGTACGCCAGGGTGGTGGGCTCCGAGTACACCAGGTGAGATCCCAGGGCGTCCCTTCCCTCCCCGGAGAAAATATTGTGGCTTTTCCTTCCCCTTTTTATTTTAGAGCTGTTCTGGTTTAAAGGTATTATGTTGGTTTGCTTCTGAACCCCACCCAGAACCCCACACCAGAAATTCCTCCAGCTTTGGGGGGTTGTTCCCAGCTTGTTCCTCTTCCTGCTCACACAACCCCAGAGTGGTTTGGGTCGGAAGGACCTTAAAGATCATCCAGTTCCAAGCTCCCAGGGACACCTTCCAGCACACCATTAAAGCTGTTAAACCCAACCACGTCCTCTTTAGACTCTGTAGAAGGGTTTTTAAACTGAGTTTTCCCTGGTTTGACCTCAGAAACTCTTGTAGCTGGAACTGTCCAAAGCCTGGATCCAAACCTGAGGCTGGAATTTCGGTTCCTGCAGCTCTGATTGACCCATTCCAAGCAGCTTTTAGATGGGTTTCCTGTGGCAGGTCCCTTAATTCTCTTTTCCTTCTGCTCTTCGAGGGGGAGAAAGGCAAATCCTTATTTTTAACTCTTTTTTTTTTTGGTGCATAATTGTGATTTGAGTAACCCTTTTGGAGCATGACGTGATTTTGTTTCATTTCAGAGCACTGTTCCTACTCAGCAAGGGGATGGTGAGTTGGATGTTCCTTTTAAATAAATTCTTCACTTGTTTAATGTAAGTTCCAGAGCAAATGAACGAGCCTTGCCTGGCCATTAACTGATTTTTAAGGTGTTTTATGTGCTTTTTTTTATGCTTTATATTTTCTTGTTTGCCATGTGAGCAGGCACAGCGTTAAAATATATTTGGGATAAGCTTGGAGCCTGCAGGATTTGTGTGAGATCCCTGGGAATAGGTTTGAGGGTTTGGGTTTGGTTTTTTTTCCCTCCTCAATTGTGACACGATTTTCTGGAGGGGAAAAGGATAATTGGAAGTTGTAAAAAGGGATAATTGGAAATTGCAAAAGGGTAATTGGAAGCTGTCACTGGAGGGAGGGAGGGCCTGGCTGTGAGAATCTTGCAATGAGGCGAATAAATCAGTGTGGCTGGAACGAGAATCCTGGAGTGGTTTGGGTTGGAAGGGCCTCAAAGCTCACCCAGTGCCACCTTCCACCATCCCAGGTTGCTCCAAGCCCCATCCAACCCGGCCTTGGAAAATTCCAGGGATGGGGCAGCCACAGCTGCCCTGGGAAATCCATCCCAGTGGATTTCCTCCCAGTGGGCTCTGCTGTGGCTCCCTGAGTGTTTCAAGTGTCTAACACAGAAGTAATGACTGGGGTTTTTTTTTGTCCCCCCCTCCCCTTCGGGATTTCAGCTGCTCCTGATGGAGCGGAAGCTGCAGGAGGTTCACCCTCTGCTGACCCTGTGCGGGCAGATCGTGGAGAACTGGCAGGGGAACCCCATCCAGAAGGAATCCCTGCGCGTGTTCTTCCTGGTGCTGCAGGTCACACACTACCTGGACGCCGGGCAGGTAGGGGGGAGCTGCCAGGGAGCCCTGGGGAGGGCTGCACTGCCTCCAAAAACACCTTTTTGGTGGTTTTTTTTTGTGTGTGAAGGAAACTGAATTTCTGGAGGTTTTCGTCACAGGTGAAATGAGGGGGAGAAACGACTTGAATTTCTTCCTCGAGGGATGTTTTTATGTCTTTGGCCTCTCTTGCTTCCATGTGGTGGTGCTGCTGGGGGCAACATCCACCCACCAAAAAATAACATAAAGGGGTTTTTTGTAACTTTGGGAAACGTTCTGCTCGTATTTCCAAGCAGGAATTGTCAGTGTTGTCGATCCTGCAACAGGCCTGAAACAGTCCCTGTTACGCTTTGGGCATGAACTGATCCCCTGGCTGTGTGTGTGGGGGGTTGTTTGTTGGCTGGGAGGCTTTCCCAGCCCTCCCAGCCCCTGGAATGGCGCAGCTGGAATGTGGTCCCTGCCAGGTGAAGAGCGTCAAGCCCTGCCTGAAGCAGCTCCAGCAGTGCATCCAGACCATCTCCACGCTGCACGATGACGAGATCCTGCCCAGCAACCCTGCTGACCTCTTCCACTGGCTGCCCAAGGAGCACATGTGTGTGCTGGTCTACCTGGTGAGAGCCCTGCTTGCTGATTAACTGCTAATTAAGTCGGTGGAAACGCGGATCTGGGCCAGGTCATGCTTTGCCACGGCACCCCTGGGGTCATCAGCGTGAGAAAAGAGGGGAGAGAAGCCCAAAAACTAAAGCTGAACCCTGTTAATTATGCACCTCAAAAGTGGATTGATTGGTGCAAAGAGGGGCCACCTTGGCTGATTTTTACCAGTGTTACCACAGTTGGACCCCGAGCCTCTGGGACCAGGGCCAGTTCCGCTTCTTGAACGTGATCCGAGGCCAGAATGTTGTCAGGAGCGAGCTGAAAAGCTGGGAGCTGAGGAGCTGTGAGGGCTCCCAGACCTTGTGGGGGCTCCCAGACCTTGTGGGGACCTCCCAGACCTTGTGGGGACCCCCAGACCTTGTGGGGATCCCCGAGCCCTCCCCTCTTTGTGCAGAGGATTTTAAAGGCAACCCTGGAGCAGTTTGGGTCGGAAGGACCTTAAAGCCCATCCATTCCCACCCCCTGCTGTCCCAGGCGGCTCCAGCCTGCCCTTGGACACTCCCAGGGACTGGGACACCCCCAGCTTGTCTGGGAATTCCCTGCCAGCCCGTGCCCAGGCTGCTGGGCAGGCTGAGGGCGGTGAGTGAGCCGTGCTGTGTCTCCTGCAGGTGACAGTGATGCATTCCATGCAGGCAGGGTACCTGGAGAAGGCCCAGAAGTACACGGACAAAGCCCTCATGCAGCTGGAGAAGCTCAAAAGTAAGGAGGGGGCTTGGAATTCAGCTGGTGCTGCACAACTCCAGTATTTGTTGCTGGTTTAAGCCAAGCACAGCCTTGTTTGGCTCTCTGGTCAGAGACCAGGCTAAGATTTTTGTTCTGTTTTAAGGCTGGGTGGTTGCTTTAAATACAGAAATGCTACTACTTGTGATAACAACTATTCCACTGTTCCCACTGTTTGTTCCCACTATTTCCACTCTTTGTTTCCACTATTTCCACTGTTATTGTTTTGGGTGATTGCTTTGAATACAAAAATTAGTACTTTGTTTATTATTATTATTAATAATAATATTAATATTGTTACTATTAAAATATCGAGTCCTTGGGGGGGTTTTATGGTAACTCAGTGAATGGGGTTGTGAATTCCTGAGGTAACTTCACTTGCTGTGGTCCTTGTCCCCCCTCTCCAGTGCTGGACTGCAGCCCTATCCTGTCCTCATTCCAAGTTATTTTGTTGGAGCACATCATCATGTGCCGGCTGGTCACGGGGCACAAAGCCACGGCCCTGCAGGAGGTGAGGATGGCCCGGGATTCCAGCACCCCTGGATGGGGTTGGGGGCAGGAACAGCCTTTAAAACATCATCCCAGGCAGGGAGATTCAGAACCAGTCTCCAAGCCTGTTCCCTGGGGTGCTTTATCCCAGTTTTTGTGGGGGCTCTCAGGTTTGGAGCCTGCCAGGAGGGATGTGTGGCTTGGTTTCCAGGCTGGGTGGAGCTGCTGGAGCAAAGCATTCCAAAAGAGTGTGGGGCAGTGCCTGTCCCTGGGCTGGAGGCACATCCAGCCCCCAGCTTTTACCCAGGAGCGTCGTTTGGGATCCTGGAAGCACCTACTGAGACAGTGGGGTGGGAGGAGATGGATGTGGAGCATGAAGTGGAGAGACAGCGTCCTGACACGTGGTTGTTTGTGTCTGTGCCAGATCTCCCAGGTGTGCCAGCTGTGCCAGCAGTCACCCAGGCTCTTCTCCAACCACGCTGCCCAGCTCCACACGCTCCTGGTGAGTGCCTGGAATCAGCCCTGGAGCTCCCAGATCCCGCCCTGCTCATCCCCAGGGGCTCAGGACAGGCAGGGAGTGGAGGAACAGGAATCCTTTGCTGTGGGGGGCCCACCCCTGGTGTGACTTCCCCCTGTCAGAGGCTTAAAACCCCTCTGGAAATAAGTGTTGGAGAATCCTGGAATGGTTTGGGTTGGAAGGACCTTAAATCCCATCCCATGGCAGGGGCACCTCCCGCTGTCCCGGGTTGCTCCAGCCTGGCCTTGGGCACTTCCAGGCGTGGGGAATCCACAGGTTTTCTGGAAAACCTGGGCCAGGCCCTCCCCACCCTCACAGGGAAGGATTTGGGATCAGGAGTGGTGAGCAAGGTGAATGCAGGAGGTGGAAAACAGCTGGAGAGGGCTTGTTGTGGGAATTGCTGTGTAGGGAATTTTGGGTATTACATGACCTTTAAGGTGGTTTTCTTAGCTAAATAGAGCCTTTTTTTACGTGAACAAACTTATTTTAAAGGGCTTTTTGTAAGAATTCCTTGTTTGTCCTGGAGCCAGGCAAAACCAAGGCTTGTTGGTTACTTTTCCCTGCCAATATCCTAGGATTTCTGTGGGTTTAGGGCTGCCTTTCCTTGCTGGGAGCGATCACAATTTGCATTTCTTCTCCTGCAGGGCCTCTACTGCATCTCTGTTAACTGCATGGACAATGCAGAAGCACAATTCACTACAGCCCTGAGGGTGAGATTTTTGTTTCCAGCCTTCCCCGTGGAAGTGGGAGCTGTTGGAGTTGGTTTTATGGGATGGGGGAGGCTCTGGAATCTGTGACTGTGCTGCTGTTGGTCTGTGCCTTTCAGCTCACCACACACCAGGAGCTCTGGGCGTTCATTGTGACAAACCTGGCCAGCGTCTACATCCGGGAGGGCAACAGGCACCAGGAGGTAAAAGGGCCCTGCCTGGCCCCAAATCCCCCTTCCCTGCAGGGAAAAAACCCCTCCTGGGCTTGGAATTCTGCTTTTCCCTGGGCGTCTGTGGGGTCAGAGCGTTGTTAGAGAGGGATCAGCCGGATCAGAGTGTTCTGGATCAGAATGTGCTGGATCATCCCTGGAATTCTTCCTGTGGGAATCGTGGCTGTGCTCCCATCTTCACCTGCCCAGCCTCTTGGCTTCACTTTCCGTCCTCCCCGGGGTTTGGGTGGTTCCATGAGTGACTGAACAGCCACAAACAGGTGCCTGTGGCTGTTGGGGCTCCTTTTGCTTCACCCCAAAGCCGTTTCAGTCCCCAAATTTCCCCCCAAAATCCCATATTTCCCCCCTGCACACAACAGCCACGAGCTTCCCCAGAGAATAAAATCGTTGTCCAGGAGATCCCACGAAGCCTGAGAAAGGATATTTAATCTAAAACCTGATTTTTGGGATCAAAACGGGCAGGAAAACTCACGGTGTTGGAGTGTCTGCACTCTGATCCCACCGGAGGGAGGGAGGGGAATTTGGGTGTGTTTGGGACGATTTTGCACTGTTTGGGTTTGATTACACTTTAAAAAAAACCCACAAAATAAAGCACTTTCTGTCAGGCTGTGCCATGTGAGAGGTGCTGATTGTTTCCTCTCCCTCTCTGCAGCTTTACAGCCTGTTGGAGAGGATAAATCCAGACCATAACTTCCCCGTGAGGTGAGAATTCCAGCAGCTCTGGGGCCGGGAAGGGCTGGATTTGTGGCAGAAGTCCTGACCTTAAGTACAGCAATGAGTTTGAGAAGCTGGGATTTTTTTATTGAGGTTTTTTTTTTTTTTTTTGGGGAATTCCCAGCAACCTGTGTGTGATTCCCCAGTCCCTGCCCTGTGCTGAGATCCCAACCTGTGCTTTTATCCGTAGCTCCCACTGTCTCCGAGCAGCAGCTTTTTACATCCGAGGGCTCTTCTCCTTCTTCCAGGGAAGATACAACGAGGCAAAGTGAGTGCAGATCCCTTGGAATGTGGGGAGGGGGGAAAGGAGGAATCAATCCACATTTTTTGGGGGGTCAGAACTTTCTCCCTCTTCTCCCTGTGGGTTTCTCCAGCCTCCTGCTTTATTTAGCGGGGGGGGGAACAGCAGGCAGCTTGTTGGGTTTGGGTCTCTGTCCTGTGGAATCCTTTGGAATCTCGTTTCCTTGGTGCAGTTTTCCAAAGGAGGGAGCTCTCTCACAGCCTTTTTTTTTTTTTTTTTCCAAGTGGCAGCTGAGCTTTGGGAGTTCAGTGCTTTGTTTAAGGTCACCTGCAGCACGTTCATTCCCCACTCCAGTTAATTCAGACCTTGATTCAGCTTCTAATGATGATTTTCCTCCGCTGGAAGGGAAGGAACGTTGTCAAAGCCCCTCTTTTGCCCTGTTTTCCAGGCGGTTCCTGAGGGAGACCCTGAAGATGTCCAATGCAGAGGACCTGAACCGCCTGACAGCCTGTTCCCTGGTGCTCCTGGGGCACATCTTCTACGTGCTGGGCAACCACAGGGTGAGGCCTCCCTCCCTCCATGTGCCTGGGGACGTGGCACTTGGCATTTCCCAGAGAAAGTCAGGGCCTTCTGGGAAGCAAATCTGATTTTTTTTTATGTTGCTGTCCCACAAAAAGTTACCTTGGGTCTGTGATTTGCACGTTCAGTAACTTCAATCCAGTGTTTGAAGTGTCTGTTCTGTAATGCCTGAGGAAAAGGGGGCTGAAAAGGGACAAGTGACATCATTCCAGTGGATTTTCAGGGAGGAACTGTGGATACAGTCCTCAGTTCTCACTGTTGTGCCAGAGCACAAGGAATATTCCTGCTGTGCTGCACTGGAATTCCCAGGAATGGGGCGAATTCCAGCTCTAGGATAGGTCTTGGGGGGGGGGAAGTTGTCCCATCCAGCACTCCCACCTGTGAGTGAGAGAACGTGGCACGAGTTAAAAGGAGCCAAATATTTCACCCCAGATTTTGACACCTGTGTGTTTGCAAGGGGTGAAAGATAAAAACAAACCCCAAAAATGCCATTTATTTTGTTTGCTCTGCTCTCTCCCGCCCAGGAAAGCAACAACATGGTGGTCCCGGCCATGCAGCTGGCCAGCAAGATCCCAGACATGTCTGTGCAGCTCTGGTCCTCAGCCCTGCTCAGAGGTGAGGGGGGAGGAAAAAGGGGCTTTCCTGGAATAAAGGGGCACTGGCAGGGAGGGTGGGGATGTGTGGGAATGCCCAGAGATGGAAGGGGAGCCCTCCAAGGGCTCTGCTCTGGAGCCAGGCTGGGGGAGCTGGGGGGGTTCACCTGGAGAAGGGAAGGATCCAGGGAGACCTGAGAGCCCCTTGCAGGGCCTGAAGGGGCTCCAGGAGAGCTGGAGAGGGACTGGGGACAAGGGATGGAGGGACAGCACACAGGGAATGGCTTCAGACTGAAATTTAGGTGGGATATTGGGAAGGAATTCCTCGCAGTGAGGGTGGGGAGTCCCTTGGGATGGGTTTCCCAGAGCAGCTGTGGCTGCCCCATCCCTGGAAGTGCCCAAGCCGAGGTTGGAGCAGCCTGATCCAGTGGAAGGTGTCCCTGCCCAGGGCAGGGATGAGCTTTAACATCCCTTCCAGCCCAGCCCATTCCAGGATTCCCCACAAACAGCTCGTGGTGGAACCGGTGGGTCCATCCCGGCCCCACTAGATGGGGCTGGAAAGCCAAAAATCCCAGCCCAGGCTTACTCAGGGTGGGGGTTCAGTGGTGTGAGGAGTTTCCTTCCTCCTCGTGGAGCTGCTTTGATGTTCCCCTTGAACAGCTGGGAACTGAAACAGCAGCAAATCCAGCTGGAAAAGGGAAGGGTTGGGGTTCCTTCGGGAGGTTTTTGGCTTGGAATGCCGTGACCTCGGTGTTGAAATGATTCCCCATCCAACACAGGGATCAGGGTTTTTTTTTTATGGATAAAGGGAGCTGCTCACTTGGGATTGGGGTGCAAATCAGTGATGTTTTTTTTTCCCTGGTGCCTTCCAGACCTCAACAAGGCCTGTGGGAACGCCATGGACGCTCACGAGGCAGCTCAGATGCACCAGAACTTCTCCCAGCAGCTGCTGCAGGACCACATCGAGGCCTGCAGCCTCCCTGAGCACAACCTGATCACGGTGAGGCACCAGCCCTGCCTTCCCCTCAGCACCCTCCTCCCTGGGCTCCCCAAACCCAGCCAGATCCCTTCTGGAAAAGGGACAAATTAACCCCTTTTTGTGAGGGTTGGGTGGTGGGACTGACAGCAGGCAAAGTGACCCAGGGAGTTCATTTTTGTGCAAAGGTTGGTTGGTGGATTTGGGCTTTGCTCCTTACAAGTGTTTTCTTGCCACACCTCTGCTTAATTTTTTTTTTTTTAAAGGCTTCTGTGGCCATTTGATGTGATGGAGTGGCCACTGGTGGGGTGGCCTCTTGTTTTGGGTGGCAGCTGTTGGTTTTGAGATGAACTGAACCACTCCCAGGGGTCACTGGAGGGTTTGGACCACCCAGTCTGCCCTGTCCTGGGAATGCTTTGCTGGACACAGCTCAAAGGGCAGTTTTTACTGGGACTTCAGCATTCCCAAGTGGTTGTTTGGGGTTTTTTTATTTTCCTCCAATTTATCTGTAAATATCTTATTTATCTGGACTGTTTTTCCTGTCAGAACCATTTTAACAAATTTTAGAAATGTAGAATCAGTTCCCTGAGCTGCAGCTCAGCCAGAGCTGGTTCTGTTCTGGGATAACTGAGACAACATCCAGCTGGGAATGTGAGATGAGAGGAACTGGGCATCTTTGGGGAGGAAAAGGGGGGTGGGAAAGGCCAGTAGGGAGGTGCTGTTTGCTGGCTTTGCTCACAGAGGGGGATCCCTGAGAGTTTTGGGGGCGTGGTTGGGGTTTGTGAGCAGAGGTTTTGGGGGGGATCCCAGAGCCAGGTGCCCCCATCCATCCACCCTGAGCCAGGCACAGAGATGCCCTTGCTGGCTCTTGCTGCATTAAAAACCTGGAGGGGGGAAAAGGAGTAATAAAGAAATAAATAATTTTGGAAGATTTTGGCTGAGGTGAGAGGGAAATAAGTCACGGAATGAGCACCCCTTGCCTTGCCCTGGAGGCCTCTGGCACGTCCAGGTGGGTCCCTGCTCGTTCTTTCCCGTGTTTAGGGGTCGGATTTGCCCCTGGAAGAGCAGGAATTGCTCCCCCTGGGTCTGGAATGCTGGGGGTGTGCGGAGGGGATCCCAAAAAAAACACCAGTTGAAGGGATGTGGGGGTGAACTGTGGGATCCCCTGGAGGCAGGGAGGGTCTGTGAGGCCAGTCCTGCTTTTTCTCCAGGGGGGGAGGGTTTCCTGGGAATGTGTCCTGGAATGGTGTCTGTTCTCTTGCAGTGGACAGATGGACCCCCCCCCGTCCAGTTCCAGGCCCAGAACGGCCCCACCACCAGCCTGGCCAGTCTCCTGTGAAACACAGTAACTATCAGGACAAAACTTAACCAAACCAAGCCAAAAACAAAACAAAAAACAAGAAACAAACAAACAAAACAAAAAAAAAAGGAGGAAACAAACAAACAAACAAAAAATAATCCATGCAAACTCCTTTTCTCCCACGAAAAAGGCAGCAGATTCCCTCTGGCAGCGAGGCCTTGTTAGGAGAGAGGTGGCAGAAGGACGAGGAGCCTTGGTGGGAAGGGCAGCTGGAGCTGCTCTTCCCGCTGGGAATACCCAGGTGTGTGCACAGAGCTGCTGGTTTTGATCTGCTCCCCTCTGGCTGAGGATTGAGGGTTCAGCCCCGAGGACTTTTGTTCCTTACCTTTGTCCCAACTCCTCCTGGTTAAAGAGCTCCCAGGAAGCGAAGAGGACTCGGTGGGATTCCCGTTGGATCCGCCCCCCCTTCCCTGGAGTGGATCCCGCTGCGCCCTCCGTGGGGATGCTGGGGTGGAATCATGGTGGATTGTGGGGCCCAGCCCAGTTCCTGAGGGGGATCCTCCTGGTTTTCTGTGCTGTTTGGAGAAGGAGGGGCTTTGGGGGGACAGGGTTTGGATGTCCCAGGGCAGGTCCCACGTCCTGGATTGGCCCGGAGTGGGACAAAAGAGCCACCACTGTGTCCCTGTGAGGGCCTCCCTTCCCTCTCCCTGACCCAGAACCACAGCTCTCTCCGTGGCTTGGTGGGTTTTATGGAAGCAGGAACGTTCCTCTCCTGCTGTTTGATCCCTTCAGGGGGGGCCAAAAAGCCCAGCCTTTTTTGCATCTTTGCTGCAGCCTGGCAGTGAAGGCACCTGTGCCTTAAGGACTTACACAGGGTTAACCCAGCTGGTTAAACCCAGACCCAACATAAGCCAGAGGCTTAGGATAGAGCTACAGCCTTGCCCTGGGCAAAACTGCCCAGTTTCCAGGTTAGTTTTCCCGTTCTAGCTCAGTTTTCTGGACCCTCCAGCTGGGAGTTCTCCCTTGCTGTGCCTCTGCAGAGCAGGGCACAGGCTGGGCCTGCAGAGAGCTGGCAGGAGTTGATTCCAGGTTTTGCCAGGACCCAGCAGTGCCTGGGGAGGTTCCTGGGGTTGAATAAAGGTGTTTTTCTCTGTTGGTAGCTCTGGATATTCATCTCCCAGCTCAAAAAGGCGAGGGCAGAGGAGCATTTAGGGCCTTCAGTGATTGTGTCAGAGAGAGAACTGACCCCCTCAGGCCTTGTCTTCGGTCACAGATGGGTTTGGAAGGGGCCTTAAAATCATTTCAGCCCCCAGAGGTCATTTTCCCTTTCCATTCCCACCCCCTCCCTCTCAGCAGCTCACAGAGGTGGTTTCTTTGCAATCCAAACCCTTCAGCTTTTCCCTCTGAAGGACATTCAGGGGACAGGGTTTTGTCCAGCTACCAGAACAGGATTCTGTGGATCCTCTCCCGTGGAGATCCTGTTCCCAGACCTTGGCTCTGGTGTGTTTTTGGGCCTTGTTAAATCTCCAGAGGCGGAAAACACGGCCTTGACGCCACTGCAGGCAGGGAATCTTGTCTCTGGCATTGCAAGGAAACCCCTCAGTGCTGTTTAAACTCAAAAATTAGGATAGAAATGTGTGACCCAGGGTCTTGGAGGCTGATCAGGAACGATCCCACCTTGGGAATGCCCCATGGACTGCTCTGCTTTCCCTTGCCTGGAGAGCAGCATCTCCCTTTTATTTCTCTGGAAGTCACTGAGTTGCAACAACTCAGTTTTTAAGCCCCTAAATGCTTCTTTTCCCTGGCAGTGCCCTGAGCTCCTGAAGGAGGAGCCACTGGAAAAGAGGGGCTTGCAAATCCAGTGCCAGGCAGGGCCTCCAGGCACTCTCTTGCCTGTCAGGACCTGGGTCCCTTCCAGCTCGGAATATTCTGTGATTGACTTCAGTCTCAGCTCCCAGTAAGTGGCTTTTAGTTTTAGAAGCAGATTCCCAGGAAGGGGTTGGGCTGAAGGGACCTGAAGGATCATCCCATTCCCACCCCCTGCCATGGGCAGGGACACCTTCCACTAGACCAGGCTGCTCCAAGCTGGGCTCAAACACTTCCCAGGGATGGGGCAGCCAGGGCCTGGAATTCTGGCCAGGAGAAAAGAGCTGCTCCTGTCAGGCAGGATTAAAAAAACAACAAAACCCTGACTGCAGAGAGCTGTGGTTTGGGCTGGGCTGTGGGAAGGCCTCTGGCAGGGACACGTCCAGCAGTGCCTGTTGGGGAAGGTGCATTTCCCAACCTCCTCGTGCTGCTCAGGGACCCCCCCAGAGCTGGAGATGGGGGAGGAGGGACAGAAATTCCCAGGGGCAATTCCCACTGTGGCTTCTCCTGGTCCTTGGGGGTGATCCAGAAGGAAGGAGGGAAGAAGGGGAGAGGGAAGGAAGGACTTGAGGGAAGGCTGATCCTGATCTCAGGGCTCGGAGCAGGATCCATGTGCTGCAACACCAGGAGGATCCACCTGGGATCGCTCTGGGCTCGGCTTTGAGCCCAACAGACCCCCCCTTCATGCCAGGACTCAGCTCCAGAGCCCTCTTCCCACCCCAGCATTCCCAACCCTGTGTAAATTTGAACATAACCCGGTGATTTTCTATCTCTCCAGTCCAATGTACATCAGTGACCATGTACAGAAGCTTTTTAACTACACTTGTATATTAAATTATTTAATAGTTTGTTTTTTTTTTTTGCTTTTCCAGTACCTTTTGTATGTACCAGGGCTGAGAGCAAAGCCCTCAGCTGAAGTTCTGCTCGTTTTCAGTGTGTAAAGTTGAACAGCAAACTAGGAAGTTTACAAAAATAACTCTGTCAAAGTGCTTTGGTCTGTTTGACTTGATTTGAACAAATTTCTAACCTTCCTTGTCCAATCATTTAATTTTCTCTCTCTCCAAACAACCCCTGAAGTCTTTTATGAGCTTCTAAAAAACACACACACACACAAAAATTATTCTTCTAGAGATGTAATTTAGAGAAATGTACAGGTTTTGGGGTGTTTTGGGTTTTTTAATTTGTTTTCCCTCTGGTATTTTTAAAGGAGTAGCAAGAACTTTAACCCAGCTAATCCCTGGTTGTAGATAGTGTAAAAAAAAAAAACCCTGATATGTGTATAGAGACTGCAGTCTGGAGATGTGTTTGCCTCTTGGATCCCGTTCCCTACAGCAGGAATAGCAAAGGCCCAGCCACCCAGGGCACCTGCACCAGTCTGGGGGCTGGGGAGCTCAGAAGAAATTCAGTAAAAAGAAGAATAAAATAAGAAAAAAATCCATCAGGAGCAAAGATTGGCTGATAAACGAGGGCCTGACTTGCCTGAGCTCCCCTGCTCTAATTCTATCCAGTTTTCCCAAATTCCCTGGCAAACTAAAGGACCTGAGGGATGTCAGGACCTCCCCAGCCCTCCAACCCCGTCCCTGCCACGGGGTGGGGTGGGGGCTGAAGGGAATCCTGGTGGGCTTTGTTGGTTGGTTTTTATTTTTGGCCTGTGCAGAAAAATGGGGAGAAAAGAGGCTGAAATGGCACCTGTCCCTGCCCCCCCCGTGTGTCCCAGTGTATTTAAGTGTCCCCCGAGTGTCCCCAGGCCCTGTCCCTGTGCACGTTGGGTGCTCGTAGGCCCCGAGGAGCAGGACAGGATTCCCAGCCCTGCTCCTGCCTGTAAATAAAGCTCAGCTCCCACCAGGAGAGGGGCCCAGGCCTCGTCCTGCTGCTCCCTGGCCCCCCCCTCTCGTTTTCTATATTAGAAGAGTTTTTAAATAAAGTGAAATTTTACTTCTTGCTACCGCTTTGTAGAATCAGTTCCTTCAGTGCAGCCCGGGGGAGGCGGCTGCTGGGCCCACAGCCCGGATTTCCTGCTTGGAGATGCTCCCCTGGGCTGGGAAGACGTGGCTGGAACGGCTCTGGAATTGCTGGAACGCCAGCAGGTGCCTGGGATAACACAGGACTTGGAGGATCCATCAGACACCAGGAATTGTGAGTGTTTTGGTCCAGGACACGACTGTTTTTCCCCCTGCACCTGTGGATGGGGCTGTGTTTGGTCTTCACCAATGGATCTGGTTTCGTGGGAGAGGTTTCCTCACTTTCATCCCTGAATTTTCAAGCAGGTGTTTTCACGTTTTCAGCTTTCTAAAGTCGGTTTTTAAGTTGTTTTTTTTTTTAAAAAAAAACCAAACCAGAAGAAAACTGCTGAATTCTTTTTGAAAGTAAAATGTGGGAGGAACTGAAGATACAAGACTCGACTGCAGCCTGTCCCTTCCCAAAGCATCACCTGAGCTGCTGAGCTCCTCCCTGGAACTCCATCCGAGAAGCCGAGTAGGTTTTGCTCCAAAAAAGGAAAATTCCAGCCCAAAGGGCAGCTTGCTTTTTTGCTGGGAATCAGACTGGGCTGCACTGACTCTGCCTCCTCCCCCTGGGAATCTGCACCCCCTTCCTCAGGGGAACAAAGATGAGCTGTTGGCACCTTCCCCTCTTTATCCTTCCCTCTGGAATCTCGGCAGCTCCTGGGCCTGCGGGAAACACCTCAACTCCAGTGGCTGCAAAGTTTGATCCCGACAGATCCAGAGCCACATCCAGAGTCCATTTTTCCCTGGATTTTACTGTGTGGGGAGCTCCAGACCTGCTGCACAAGGGACTGAGGATCGTTCTGCCAAAAGTCTCGATTTGGTGCCTCCCCTGCCTTGGCAAAACGGGAAACGTTCTCTCCTTGTGCTCGCTGACGATTATAGGATTTATTTCTTTCCCTCCTAAGCACAACCTCCCTTCCAGGTGTCTGGAAACGCTGGATACCAAATCCCGACGGCTGTGGCACAGCCGGGCGGGGGGGGAGCGGCTCAGCACACTCTTTTTTTTTTTTTTTTTTTATTAATCCAACTGTTCAGGGAGTCTCCCGATGAAAATTCATTTATTAATTCCTTTGTTCCCGGCTCCGCGCGGGCTCGGCCGGGTGGGTTCGGCTCCCGCCGGGTCCGTCCCCGCAGCCCAAGGGTTAAAGATCCCTGCGGGAACATCCCGGGGGAGGCGCGGCCGGGGCGGGGGAAGGGCCGGGGAACCCTGACCCACATCGGGGCTGAGTCACCGAACCGGTACCGGGGGGACGAGCCGCGACCTGCCCCGGCACCGGCACCCGGAGCTGCTGCGGGACCGGCACCGGCACCGGCTGGAGCTGCGACGCCGGCACCGGCGGGACCCGGAGCTGCCCCCTCCTCACCCCCGGACCCTCCCTGGAGCTGCTGCGAGTCCCGAGCCCGCCGCATCCCCCCCGCCTCCATCCCGTCCCATCCCGTCCCATCCCATCCCACCCCCGCGCCGCTTCCTCCCGCCGCCGCCGCCGCTCCCCTTCCCCCCCCCACCCCTATCTGCGGCCCCAGCGCGGCCTGCGCGGGCGGATAAGGGCGGCCGCGGCCCCTCCCCGCGGGCAGCGCCATCACCTCAGCCGGCCCCGGGAGGAGCCGTTCCCGGCCCGGCCCCGGGAGGAGCCGCTCCCGAACCCGGGGGGACCCGGCGGGCGGAGCCGCTCCCGGCCCGGCCTCTCCGGGCACGCCCCCTCCCCTCGGGCCGCGCTCCGATTGGCCGCAGCTGCCCGCGGCGCGGCGCTCATTGGGCAAACCGCCCGTCAATCAAAGAGGCCGCGCCTCTTTCCCCTCCGCGAGGGGCGGAGCTCACAGCGCGTCAATCAAAAGAGGCCACGCCTCTTTTTTTTCTCTTACTACGGGGGCGGGGCGAGTGCGGACTCCGCGCGCTGATTGGCCGCGGCGCGGGCAAGCCCCGTTCTGATTGGGCGGTTTACCGGTCACTCACGAGTTTAAAGATTAAAAAAAAAACCCAGCGCAGCGCCCCAGGCCCGGCGGGGGGGCGTGGCCAATGGCAGGGGGGCGTGGCCGGGCGCGAGGGTGTCCCAAATCTGCCTGGCAACGGGGGTTCGGGGTTCACGGTGTGGGGGTTATGAGGGAGGGGAGGGGGAGGAAGGGAGGGGGTCGGAGGGTGAGGGGGTGAGAGAAGGGGGGAACGGGGGGGCGGAGGTGAGGGGGGGCGGGTCCCCTGCGCGCAGCTCTCCGCCCCCCTCCTGTCAGTGGCCACCTGAGGGAGCCGCCTCCTCCCCACGGCCCCAGTCCGGGCCGGGCCCCGCTGAGGAGGAGGAGGAGGCGGCTCCGAGGGGGCTCCGGACAGTGAGTGACACCTGCGCCCCCACTCCCCGGACACCCCTGGGGAGCGGGGACAGGGGGACACCTGCACACACCCTCTCAGCCCGGGGGCGAGCGGCTGAGGGGAAGGGGCAGAGCGGGGGGGCACAAGGAGGGGGCGGCACCGCTGTGAGGGGAGTGGGGGACATGGCGAGGGGGAAACCCTGAGGGACGAGTAAAGGGTGTGGGGGATATTGGGGTGAGGGACAGGGACAGAGCGGGGCAGGGAGGGGGCTCGGTGGAAGGTGGGTGGAACGGACCGGAGGAGGGGAGGGGGAGCGTAAAAAAAAAAAAAAAAATCCCATAAAAAAAAATTTAAAAAAAATGAAAGAGAAAAGGGCTAGGAAGTAGGAGGGGAGGGTGGGCAGGGGTGAGGGGGTGCCAGGGAGGAGCGGGAGTGCATCCTGGGAGTTGCCTGATAGGCACAGCTACCAGAGCATGTCAGCAAAGGCGGATTATTGGTGCCACAGCCTCGGGAGGGCGGGGGAGGGGAGCGGGGAGGGGACGGGCCGGGCCACCACCGGGGCCACCTGGGACACGGCCCGGGGCCACCGCGCCTGGGGGCACGGCCGGGGTCCCCTGCCCGGAGCGGGCAGCGCCGGCGGAGCGGGAGGAAAACTTTTGGCAGCCGGCTGTGGAGGGATGGGAAGGGCTTGGGTTTGGCTTTGCGGTGAATCCCAGGGGTTCGTCCCGCAACTGGAGCTTGAGGGGGCTTGGGGGCGGGGGGGGTCCGCGGGAAAACCTGAGGGTTTTTTGCGGCGAACCCCCAAGGGGCTGCCCCGAAGGGTGAGGGTCCGCAGGGAGGACCTGGGGGTTCGCGATAAACCCCGGGCTCTGCAGGGAAACTTGGGGGGGTCTGCCCCAACATCCAGGGCTCTTGTCTCGAAAGATGAGGGAAAGATGCTGGAAATCCTGAGGGTCCGCGGGGAGACCCGAGGGTCCGCTGGAAAACCTGAGGGTCCACAGGGAAACCCGAGGGTTTGCGATAAACCCGAGGGTCTGCCCCGAAACCTGAGGGTCTGCTGGGAAACTTGGGGGTCTGCCCCGAAATCCAGGGCTCTGTCCCAAAAAGCCGAGGGTCTGCAGGAAGACCTGAGGGTCCACTGGAAAATCTGAGGGTCCACAGGGAAACCCGAGGGTCTTCCCCAAAACCTGAGGGTCTGTAGGAAAACTTGGGGGTCTTCCCCGAAATCCAGGGCTCTGTCCCAAAAACTGAGGGTCCCAAGACCCGAGGGTCTGCAGGGAAACCCCGAGGAGCTGTGCCAAAATCCAGAGGTCTTCCTCAAAGCCCAGGGGTCTGTCCCAAAACTCGAGGGTCTGAATGAAACCTGAGGGTCTGCAGGAAAACCGGGGGGGGGTGGTGTGTGGGTTCTGTCTGTCCCAAAACTGTCTGCGGGGAAACCCGGGGGGGCTGCGCCAAAAACTGAGTGGAAACCTGAGTGTCTCGAGCAAAACCGGGGGGATCTGCCCCAAAATCCGGGGCTCTGTGGGACAACCTGCTGGAAAAAAACCTGAGGGGCCGCAGTTAACCGGAGGGTCTGCAGAGAAACTCGGGGGTCCCACCCCCAAAACCCAGCGGTCCGTGGGATAACCCGAGGGGGAATTGGGGGGGATGCTGCCCCAGAAACCAGGGATCCGCTGGAAAAG